TTTAACACACACACTCTGCCTATTTAGGCTGAATTCAGACAGAAAACACTGTGTTCTACTTTACTACAGGAAGTCCACTGTGTTTTTAAAACTCTGTACACCTTCATTAGAATCATTTGGATGATTTCATCCCTGGAATTGTCAAACTCTACTGAACAAATGATGAAAAATAGCTGTTAACTTGAAAATGACTGCTACACAAGATCACTATAGAGACATTTTTGCAACAAAGTATGTAAACATAATGAATGCAAGCGCGAATATGTATTACTTGGTTAAACTGAGAATAGTGCACAGTTTGCATCAATAAAAAAGTGATAATATTGCACCACATTTAGCCTAACTTAAGAATAGTGGGTTTTAATCATATTACAATAACATGACAACAATATATTTAGTTTACATTAGGGATGCACTGATCTGATACCAGCATTGAATATCGGCACAGATAATGAAAATTTGGTGGCTTCCAAATATCAGTTTAGTCGAGATCTTCTTTTGACGTATAAATTTATGTATTAAGATTTGTATGTATTAAGAATTGTTTGAATTTAGTTACATGAGAGTTAAATAACAGCCACATAACACATTTGGATCACTTCTGTCTTATTTTATTTATGCTTTAAGAAAATACATGCTGTTTTCAATCTCTGCAGTGGTATTGGTTGATATCGGGTACTGGCAGATACTTAAAGCTATAGTATCAGAATCGATATCAGTTCTGAAATAGCTGGATTGCCGCATCCCTAGTTTCTACATGGACACTGCATCACCTAATAGATGCATTTGAACATATTGTTAAACTCTCCTTGTGTGATGAGCATAGAAGCCCGGTGCTCTCATGAATCATATCTCCGTAGCTGTAGCACTCCCCTTGACAAACAGCCCGACAGAGAGGTGCAGGTATTGATGGAGAGCAGGGTGCAGACTGGCCCTAATTGCAGTTTGATGACTAGAGGTGCTTCAAAGTCATCGTTTCAGTCTCACACATGCGCAGGTCGGCCCCACTTGACGTAAATACAGCCATAATCTGAGCAAACACTATCAGAGCCACAGTTAATCTTATGTGAAGGGTTTATTAACTTGTTTTATACCCCTCTGCCAATTATGTGACTTTGAATGATGCGTCATGGAGATGTGAAACGATAATAAAGACAGATATTTTTCCTCATGAGTCTTTCCCAGAATGTGCTTTTTGCTCCACTGTTGGATATTGTATAAATCATTATAGTTTTTATTAATAAATTTTATTGTATTTATTTATTTAAGGACAGTGCATTTTAATGAACATCTGTAATTACAGTGTAAATACGCCAGGAAAGATGCTAATTTCCATCTGTTGGCCCTAGGCAGGTGACACAGAAAACTATTACAAAAAATACAAAACAGTTACAAAGAAGCACAGAATAATAAAAAGATTTAAAAGTGTTCACAGATTTAGACATGTTTACATCTTATTGTGTGAATCTACAGTGACTTGTTGCTATAAAACAGAACCGTGGGGGGAAAAAAAGTCAAATACTGCATTGACTAAAATATATATAGAAAATAAAAATAACTGCTTGTTGGTAAATATAGTGTTTGCACAATATTTTTGCGCACATTTTAGACTTGAATTTGATTCTAACTTGGCATTGAATTTCATTTTCAACATAAAATAATGGTAGTTTCTTTTATATCACCACATGATCTACTTGTGTTAATTGAAATCCACATCACTCTGTTTGAAAACTTTTCAGGAAAGGTCCAATTCTGTCCAATTTATGAGATTTTTTTTCTTCAGTTCAAACACTTCAAAGTTCAGTACTAGTTTATATATATACTAGTATTGATTTCCTTTCTGCTACCTATTGTATTCAAAAAGCAGCTTTTATTTTTAAAGTAAATAGCAGAAAATACAATTGTTATTATATATTTGTATGTGTGTGTCACCAAAGCACTAAATTTTTACTGTTTAAAGATGTGGTTCCAATTTAAAACTCCTGTGACTTGTAGCATTAGAGATACAATACTGTTAAAAATCCAAAGGGCTCCCATGTGGTTGATAAAGCCGCACAGAATTCAATTAGCGCTCAAAGTCAATTTTTACTAGTCCCTCCTCCCCAACTCAAATATTAATAGGACAATCCATCTGTTTGAGCATGGCAGCGGCCCTACCAGCCTTAATAACTGCTCATCATTTGGACGAGGAAACTGTGACTTATATCTCATTAAAGGGACGTATGACAATGTGAAACTGATGAACGAGGGGAGGGGCTCTGAGTAAATACCAATTATTGTCTATTGGGATGTGCGCGTGACTAAGGAGTGTCTAAATACAACCACGACGACGTTCTGTCTTCTCAGATTGCCTAACAGATGCTCCATGATATTGCTGCACAGAGTAACTCAAGCATCCCCTACAAATCTCCACATGCGTCAGGGGAGGGCACAATAAGCTTTGATGAACAGCCCACTTGTTCCTTCAGTTCTAACGCACATAATAGCTGGAAATGTGGACAAAACCCCCATGATGGCTCAGGTTTATTAAACATGTCAGGAGTCGACAACTAAGACGTGGAATTGATTATACAGAGAATGGAAGTGAATTAAATTGTCTAGGTTAGCTTTGTGTGTGGGGGGATAAAGAGATCTTTTGTGCACTTTCTTTTCTGATATTTAGCATGGTTTAGACTCAATAGCTTCATCACAGTAAATGTATCTATCTCCATGGAGACAAGCTTGTGATGCTACCAGACAAAGTTTAGACCAGGTTAGGAATGTTTTTCAAGGTATTTGTCTAGCAATAAAAACATCTGCAATTGAATAAATGCAGGGTCGTCAAGTTCATTGTCATACTAAACAAAGCATTAACGTCACCATGGAGACGAGCAGGTGCCACATCACCTACCGTAAAGTCACATAGTGCACCTTTAGGTTTCAACATCTGATGAGTCTGAAGACAGATGTAGAAAAGTGACTTTATTTTTGATTTAATAAATAATACTGCTTTATTTACCCATTCTTAAAAATATGTAATGTATGTTGCCACGATAACAAATTTTGAAGCCCGATATATTAGTTTAGAGATATAGGCTACTGTGATACATAATACTGAATCTACTTTATGCCTCTTGACAACAATAAAACAGGATAATCCCAGTAAACTATCATGAAAAAGGCCTAAGGTGCAACATGTAAATAACAGAACGTACTATTATTTGTCAATAATGAGCCAGAGAAGTCACTTATTCAACCTTTTACAGCTCAAATCTTGTTGTATTACAACAAAAATAACAAAAATCTCTCAACTTTCATAAAACAAAACTGTACACACGATAAATATTGAGCCTCAAAATATATTGTTCCAGCTTCCTCATATTGGACAATAAGCTGATATTGTATTTATCATGACAGAGCTGTATTTTATATGGTTTTAATGTCATGTATTGAGTATTTATTATAATGCGTTCTAGTCCTGCTTTGGAATCATTAAAGAACGTGACAATAGCAATGAGTCTGAAGCAAGCAGTACAAGTACAGTCTTATTAAAACAAGCTCTACCAAAATAACTTACTACCACTCATTAAAAACTGTACACAGTGTGCTGCACCATTGTTTGTTTTATAATTGTTCTATTTCTGGGGTACTCTAAGATGCTGCCTCCTTCCTCTTTCAACAATACCAAAACTAATGGCAAACACATGCAGTGAATGTGTGTATTTGGCGATACTGCGCAGCTTTACACGGCTGTTTACATAGTTTTCTCCACAGAGCTGACAGAAGGGCCTCTCTCTCTCGCTCTCTCTCTCTCTCTCTCTGTCTCTTTCCGAACACTGAGCACAACTCACCCACAGTCATAAAGTGCCATCTTTTGGTAGACAGAGGAATTATTCTCCAGGAAATACTGTAGTGTGAAAGTGGTGCAGTGCAACAGCTGGGGGCTTGGTGTCTTCACTGCTGAGGATCAGGTCATAGATACTTTAAAAAAAAAAATTTTTTTATGATTTTTTATATTTTTATTTTGTGATTAATATTGTCTTTATGTTCTAGGTATGTTATTTCCAAAAACATGAGTTGGAAGCAAATACATACCTTTATAAGTGGGTTAAGGAAGAGGTTGATGGCATCTTTCGTAAACATTTTGGCAGGATTGGATGTCGGGGTGTAAGGAGAGGGTAGGAATGTGGGAGGGTTTTACTTTTTGTTTCATTTTTGCTCTTGTTTTTTATAATGCTAAAATCTATTTTAAAAGAAATGGAAATGGAAATGGAATCTGTGTTGCATTATAATGAGAGGACAATGTGATGGACAATAGCTCTAAACCTGTACATGGTGGTTAAACTACAATTTCTGCATTATTTTAAACATTTTTTGAGCAGTGGGAATGCATCTTAAAATTTGTGCTATATCAGATAGGTTGTTTATTCAATATTACTTTACATATTCTTTATGTAAAGTAAAGCCTACACCCTGTTGCTGGCATAGATCCTATATAGCAGAATAGCAAATAGTGAAAATACTTAACAGTAAGACTGGTATTGTACCTGTTGCAGAGAGTGGCGCAGTATGCTGAAATTCAAAACATGTGTTAAAGGTTATGGTTGGCTACGATTTGATATTGGCTTTGTGGTAACAGTCTGGAGCAGTGGGTGATGCAGAGATCCAACTCTACAAGTATTAGAGTTTGACACATTTGCCTTCTGTGTTTTGTGTAAAAGAAAGGAAGATGAGTGCTTCAGTGGGTCAATTCGTTATCAGGTCAGGTGGTCATCAGGATCACAGTGGAAAAACACTTATAGATTTATATACTTTTTTTTTTAAAGAATTTTTGCAAGTTGCCATGAACAAAATTGCAATATGTTAAAAGGAGCAATGGTGAATCAGTGACAGGTGCTACATGTTTGTTAGGTGGTCTTCTGGTGAACTTCGTTGGATTATTTTTGGGCACCAGTATCCTTCCTGTGATCCTGTGGTATGTCTCCTTGCTGTCACTCACTGATATGTTTGTCCATTTGCAGGGGGAAAAGGGCGACTCCGGGGTCCCAGGGGAGAAGGGAGAGCGAGGAGAGGCGGTGCGTATTTTCCAGCGGTGACATTTTACACTGTGCCATTGTCCCACACAGTCATTAACTAGGGCCTGCTGCTCCTCCCCACAGGGTCAGCCCGGTGCAGACGGAGCCGCCGGGATGAAAGGACAAAAAGTAAGTCACGTCAATGTCAAGTGTCACATGCCATGATTTCCCCTCTGTCTGGGTGCTGCTCGGCTGTAAGTGCACAACACACACTGAGGTATAGGACTCACACAGTTCAAGCGCTGTGTAATTGGCAGCATATAGAGGCCAGACCTTTAGGTACCTGTGTTATTTCCCAGTTTTGCCCATCTTTGAAAGCTGTTAGAAACATTATAGGAACCAAATGGGAAGTAACCAAAAACAAGGAGTAGAAGCTACAGTGTTTTGATGTCATAAATGCAGATCCTATATAACTCTTTCAAAGATTCACTGTTCACAGATTGGCTTCACAAACTTACCATATTAATATTATAGTATTAAATATACACCATGCAACAGAGTCGGGGACTTGCAAGTTGTGACTTGGACTTGGATTTTTAGGACTTGAGACCTGACTTGATTAAATGGACTAAGACTTGGGACTCGACTTGGACTTGAGGCCTGTAACTTAAGAAGTCTTGAAAAGCACTGACAAATCTGAATTATTTCTATTCTGACTGATGATTCACACTAAGATCTTGATCAGACATTTAAAAAGGAAAAATTTACATTTCTACAACTCATATATACTCTTTAAATATACTCTTTAAATATTCATAGAAATTCACATAAATATACTATACAATGTATACTTCATATAAATTGCAGAAATCTAAACTATATTTGGTACTTTGGTTTAAAGACTTGAAATGACTTGAAGCTCAAAGCAGACAACTTTGACTTGACTTGGACTAGCCTGTATTTGACTTGGGACTTGACACGGACTTGAGGTCAAAGACTTGAAACTTACTTGAGACTTGCAAAACAACGACTTGGTCCCACCTCTGCCATGCAACATTTCTGCTACCTATTTGTCTCCATGAAGATGCTATTGCTTTGCCTGATATGTTCCATGGTATGACATTAAACATATACATAGTCATTATGGGTATTTCTATTGCTCAAAAATACAACAATTCCTTCCACAGGGGCGACTCTCCACAGATCTGAACTGTAATGTAGCATGCTGCTGTAATCTGCTTGACTCCCTTGTGATAGATAGGTTTAATCTACACTGTGGAACATTCTAGACAAAGCAATAACATTTCCACAATAAATGTTACGCAGTGCACTTTTAAGTTATTTCAACTGTCAACAATCACGTCTTGGAAAATGGCAACTCTTTTGAAGCTATTGTGAAAAAGAAGTTTTGTTTATTTATGCTGACAGAGAAGACTTTGAACTTGAATTTTAATGGTTTTGGATTCATGCAAATAGGCCTCAAAAATGAACCATAAAATAGCAGATTTCAGACTTGTTGACCTATTCCTGTTATTACTGGCTCCCCGCATGAAATAAGAACTGCTGTGTCTTCCCTGTCAGCAAAAATGAATTTTTTTCACAATAGCTTTAGAAAGTGGTGCCAATATTCAACAAAGACATGATTGTCAGTTGAATGAACTTGAAGCCATAAGGTTAATTTGGCAAGTCTCTGGAGCCAGTTCTTAAATTAAAAAAAAGATTCAAAATTGGTGCATTGTCTGCTTGGATATTTCTTTAAAAACAGTCATTCTCCCATCGATTTATATAGACCAACGTCCATTTGAAATTAGGACATAATCAAATGATAGAAGGTGAATGGTATCACTTGATATTCAAACTAGATAGTTTTTCTCTCTAAAAATAAATGTTGAGCACTTACACTATACTAAACTGTCACAAAATATATATTCACTTACAGGATTCAAGTGGCAGAGACAGTAATTCAGTGTTAGACGAAGCTGTCATTGAAAAAACTCATGTAGTAGCTTTGAAAAAGTCTGAGATTTTAATCATCCTTTTACTTGAATTGGTGTGACTCATAAAAGATGATTTCTTGTAAATCACAATTTTTAAAAATGTCTCAGTTGTTTTTAAGGACACTGAATAACCATAAAAATTGTACCAACAGTGTAGTACACAGAGTACTGTGGGTGGATATGAAAAAAGTGTGTTTTTTCTTGGAATTAAAAACTGGGAAATGTACCAAACATCTTGCCATTCCAATATTAAACTCCAATCTTTTCATTTATTAATTTATTTGTATTTATGAGGATTCTGGAACATTGTAGACATCAGTAGGGAAGTCACATTATACATTTACACACATATATAATTTGTCATGATTATTATGAGACAAATCATCACTATTTCGCTATTCACTATTATCAACATCAGGACCAAACAACAGTGAAAAACAGTAATTTCATTCATATTGTCTAAAACATCACCACTCTACCACTAAGTTACAGTCATTATGAAATTGCACTTTCTGAATGATTAACTAATATTACATAACCTATTGTTATTTACTACCTGTGTATTATTATTACTATTATTTACATTGTTGTGTGTATTGCCAATTGCCCTTGAACCGAATAGTGAGATAAAAAAATGTTTGTTTTAATTTTAGTAGTTTTTTCATAAAGATTGCTTTAAAATGTTTTAACTTGGCTACTAAAATTACCATGGTTATTATTTTTTTAGTTCTTATGATTAAGGATGATACTGATACTGGTATTGGATATTGGTGCTGATACTGAAAATGTACTGGTTCTGGTATTGGTTCCATAATATTGGTTCAGTCGCTATCCTTGTTTGGCTTTTAATTGGATGTAATAAAACTATTTCATGTTGTAGGACCTCTCATAATGTTTGAACGTTTATTCATACAAAGCTGTTCAGTAGTTATGCAAAGTATAAATAATAGTTATGCAACACAATTTAGCTGTGTTAGGAAATAAGGAAGGAAAGATGTGCCATTTTCCATTCCTATATGGCATCGGTTAATATCGGAAGATGCTTAAAATCAAAGTATCAATATTGGCATTGCAACTGGAAAAGCTGGATCATTCCATCCCTACCCCCTAATCACTTTTATTAAATAATCTAATAATCTTTATATCTGTAGCATATAGTAAGAAAGAGCATATTCTAACCTCGCTCTTATTCCTTTTTCACATATACACAACTTATTTCTAGTAAATAATACGTGGCAGAGGCACTGTAGCACTTTTTAGCTGTCTGCTGTTATGGCCCCATGTGGTGCCAAATTTGCACCCATAAAACATTATTAAGCTAAGTGACATTATTGTTCCGCTATTGTTACAGACTACACACTACTGCTGCACGCCATGGTGGAAGAATGGAAATATGCCTAGTAAATTATGAATGGGAAAATGAATGCTCCAAAACGCAATGCATCACAATTAATAGGCTTCCAAAGTTCCCCGGAGCCCCCACTATATCCATTATAAAGGGTTGTAAAGCGAATAAGTGTATGCACAAACCAATTATGTGCTGCAACTTAGAGCACGGCGCACATGAACGCTCTCTATTTGTGCTTTTCATCCTACTCATCTCATGGTCTGTGTCATATTGCTCGTGCAAGATTGTTGTTTCACACAAGTCTGGTCTTATTACTGTGCTCTGTTGTGATGTGTTGAAAGGAAACTACAGCAAATATCTGAGGTCTCATTAGAAAAAAAGCTGTGATTCGTTTGATTTTGGTTTGTAAATCTTTTATAACGTGATGACCTGTGAAAGATAAAAAAATATTCATGGTACTTGTTAAGAGTGAGAAGTATGTGATTTTACAAGAGTGACAAATGATCAGCAAACGATCCAAGCACATCCATGTTGCCATAGTGAGGTCTTGTCTGCTCTTGTTCAAGAAGTTTGATATTCCACTGATGATTTAAAAAACTCAATTTTGGTTACACAATACCTAGTGGTATTTACCTTTTACCTTTTGTTCAGTATAGACTGGTAATTCCAGAGCTGAAATTATCCAAATGATTCTAGTGAAGGTGTATGGAGTTTAAAAACACAGTGTATTAAAAGGTGTTTTCTCTTAATGAGAAGAACTAAGCCTAAATATACATATCCATATTTGTGTGTTAAACATGTATGAATGAAACGAAACACAACTTCAAGTATGTTTTTAATGAGGAAGTGACATTATAATATAGATCAGGAAATAGCATAATGTGGGTCCTTTAATGTTACCATGTGGTCTTGTACTAGCTCTGATATAAAGACTAAACTAAAAGTAATTAAGTAAAGTATTCAGGAAAGGCCAAACTTTTTGTAGGATTTTGTCAGTATTGATCCATGTTGAAATGAGTATCTTCAGTACTTCTTCAATAGTTTTAGAGTTGTTTTGTGTTTGGTTATCATTTATAAACAATCCCAATATGCTGTGCATCAGTTGGTTGTGTGATAAGCTGCACATTAGACCCTCAGGTGGGTCGCAAGAGATTTTTTGGGGTTGTCTTGTCACGATCTGCATGTAGGTCTGCAAAAAAGTTAAATTTTGTTCCAGTATCCATCCATCCATTTTCTTCCTCTTATCCTCCGGGGCCGGGTCGCAGTGGAAGCAGTTTAAGCAGGGACTCCCAGACTTCCTTCACCCCAGACACATCCTCCACGGGTTCCAATATTGCTGGTTTAATTAAATGTTAAAAAGAAAAAGAAATGGGCTACATTTAATGTGTAAACAGGTGACTTATGGATCCTTTTATTGCTGGTTCATTTACTGAGAGACATGATCACTCAGTCAACAATAAAATATCCTCATTAATGTTCAATAATGGTCAAATCCACCTTTATTTTGTGATTTATGAATACTGTCTATTGATTTAGGTCGCGAAGGTTTGTGACTTTTAAAATATGGGTCCTAGAAAAAAACACTGTATTAGACAAGTAACCATATTCTTATCATGTCTAACACTGACACTTAACACAGACAATCTATTTTCCTTGGACACTGTTTGTGAATTCATATCCAAAGTATTCATATTTCCTGTGTTCCTCTAGGGAGATGTGGGTCCACCCGGTCCTCCTGGTCCTGTAAGTACATCATAAACATTCAGTTTTAATGAGTTTGTTAAAAATGATCTGTCACTGGCACACAACAGAATGTGATAAGAGACAACAAATGAATGATAATGCTGTTTGTCAAGCGACTCTGTACTTCAGTTTTTAGACAGAATGCCCCTGTGATGAATTAAAAGACTGAAACAGATTTGCACTGTTTACCTTTTCCGTTTTACCTCAACAATTGATCTCCAAAGTCATTTTCACCTCAGCCAACTCGCAAAATTTGTCAAAATATGCCAAACTTTGTCAGATATTCTTTCTCATTTACATACCTACTGTACATCGAATTGAACTTACAAAGCTGTTATTTGAATAGACTTTTTGTTTTCTGCAGCAAAGATACAAATTATGCAGAAAATTCTAACATTTGAAGTTTCTGGGCTGTGATTTCCAGCTTATCTCTCCTCAAATGAATCCATTTGGTACAGCTATTAGTCTGTGATGTTGTGATCCTTCAGTCGTCATAAACAGCAAAAGATTTGAATTTGAAATACTGTGGGCTCAAAACAAGAGAAAACACTCTCTTTGTGAAATGATTGATAACAGTGATCAGTTGGACACATGGGCTAGTCCCTTGTAGTGCGTTGAAGCTGGCACTAAGGAGTAGACAAAGAAGTGAGGAAAAAGTAGGTCAAAAACAAAGTGATGATCTGAAAGAATATAAACTGAATTTTAAAGGTACATTTTTTGCTTTTCCCCATGGAGATGTTATTGCTTTGTCTGTATTATTTCACAGTACTATAGCCAGACCAAGTGTCATACTGTGGAACATTGCAGGCAGAGCAATGACATATCCATAGAAACAAGCAGGTGACCAAAAAGTTACATAGCGTACCTTTAAGATTATTTGTAATAATCTACTCCTTTTATTCATTTTATTGAATTTTTTCTTTCATATTTTTATTGCGTCTATTATATGTTTATGTGTTTGGGTAACCTTTTGTTTTGCATGTATGCCAACACAAGGGTGGAGAAAAAAAAAAAATAATAATAACATAAATATTGTGTTTATACCTGCTAAGCTATATAAAATCCTGTAAATGACACAATAAAGAACAAAAATAAAAGAGCTAGAAGGGTTAGTGATTACATACTGCCTAGACATTAAAAAGTCCAACCCCCCGCTGTGACAAATCAGTTTTCAAATCTGCTGGGGTGCAGTAATTACTCCTTAAAGGGGCGACTGTGATGGCCAATCTTTTCCCTCAAATAAAACAAAGTGGCATGAAAAAAACAGCTGTCACAAAGTTTGCCGGCTGACATGTGGATGACTTGGGTCTAATGGGTTTTGCTCCACTGCCTGTTTAGCCTCTGAAGGTTTAAAGACGTGAGCTTGGAAACACTTCAGTGGCTTTCAGTCCTAATCTAATTCTTGTTAGTGCCCTATTCAAACGGCTGACAGGTTGGGATTCAGACAAGTTAATTAGATAGTTGAACAAATGTCAATCAATTGGAAATCAGTATATGCAATTGGGTTTTGGTATTTCTGAAAAAGGTTAGATATTGCCTAAAGAGATATTAAATAATAACCCTAAAGCTTTTGTTTGCGTCTAAACTGTGTACAAAACAATACCACTCTCACCATAAACATCATTGGTTGAGCGGTCAGATCCACTTACCCGTAGGCTGACGGTGTGATTCCAGCTGCTGCAGACGAATGCTGTTGTTGTGACCCTGGGCAAGACACCTACCTTGCCCTGGTGTCTGTGTACACTGGTGTTTGAATGTATGCATGAATGTAAGTGTGAATGGGTGAGCGCTTTGAGTGTCTCGAAAGTGCTAGATAAAAATGTGACCATTTACTTGTGAGTGCTATTAGTGGCCTCAGATGCTCTACTCTTACTGTGTACGTGATATTTTAATACCAATGCTTAGCTTTCTGTCTGAATTTATGTAATTCTTTATTATAAGTTTGTCTATATGAGATGCTGAAGCTCAAAATTGTCTGCTCCATCTTGTGATGTCATGTAGTGGTAGTTTTCAAAGTAACAGCTACCTTTAGTTCAGTAAAGATTAGCAATTCCAGGACTGAAATCATCTAGATAATTCTAGTGAAGGTGTATGGAGTTTAAAAACACAGTGGAGCACTTTCTGTATTACCCATGGACTGTATAAAAGAAGTGGACTCAACCATAGCGTTCAGCGCCACTCAAATGAGGCTCGTGATGCTCACGTTTACAGGAGCGAATTTGGAGCCAGACTCTATGTTATGATTAGGTTTTTTTTGAAGGGCAAAATAGAGAAAAAAAATTCAGGCTCATGTGGAGTGGGTTAATACGAACATTTTAAGACCAAAATGACAAGGCTCACTGCAGCATTCACAGAGAGAGGGGTGACAAGATCCCAATGTAAGTCAATAGGAGCCAGGGTCAGAAGGAGCCGGAAGAGTTTCCTGGAGCACCTCTTATTTGGCACGCGGTGGTTAGCGCATTAGCTATGTCTACTCATATATACCGTCTATTGTATTACCACATGACATCATAAGGTGCAACAGGATGTTTTCTGTTTGAGAGCAGAACTCAGCCTAAATACACAGGATTTGTTAAATGTGAATTAAATGAAACAAAACCCCAGGTATATACAAAATAGATCATAAAATAGTGGAACATGGGCCCTGTAATACGACATAGTTGTTTCTACCATTTTATTAGATTAATGAAAAAAAAAAAAAAATCCTCAAGAATACAAAGAGCTGAGCAATGTAGGGTAGCATTCTGTTTTATACACAGCGCCCTAACTGTATTGGAGCCCTAAATCATAATCTACATATTCATTCAATGCTGCGTAGTGAAGATGCATGCATGCTAACAGTCCCCAGCAAAACATTTAGCCTTTTGATGGATGAGACTGCTTAAATATTTAGTGCCAGTCTCTGTCTGTGCTTTCCCCGTGGCAGATAATTTTGGCAGTTAGGCATCGATTTCCCTTACACAGCAGAAGCCAGGGCTCACATCATTACCCGTCCTTCATAAAGCTTCTTGTGTTTATTAGTGACAGGGAGGAGCAGGGCATGGCCATCGTGCCGTCTGATGCTTTCCAAACTGCAAAATAGCCCCTTTAGCTCCAAGACAGTCACCGCATTTATAGCTGGCAGAATGCGTTTTACAATAGACTCCTAAAATCTGTTATGCCAACCTACGTATGCGGAGTAAATGATTATGTGCACATTTTACCACGTTGGAGAGAGGATGCTGTGAATCCCTTATCGGGCACGCTATAAGACGTTATCAGGCTGTGGCAGGGGTAGTTGGAACAGAGTTTTTCAGTTAATGTTGTTTTGGAAGGAAAGGGAAATACTTAATGTCAAGAAAAGATTATGGCCAGTTGCAATAAAGCTAACATAATAATATCAGCCCAGTTAAAGCTGTCAGCAAGGGAGCGTGTGGAATATTTTGTGCAAGAAAACAAGAAAAACTAAGAAAGACTTATTTATGAAAAAGTATTATGGTGCTCAAAGTATAGTTCGAAAATACAATTTAGGGCTGGGGAAAATGACAAATAAATTGTGTTTTCTCTTGTATTGATTGATTTGATATTTGTCTTATTAAAACAAGTAAAAAATGCTTATATTGCAGTATTAATTTTCTGAACATAAAACAGAGAGAGTGTTGCATTGCGAATGTAATAAAAAAAAGAAAAAAGTTTTCCTTTTATGTTTGCACTTTCATATTTGTCATAGCCTATAAGCCCCTTTTGAAGATTAAGTTTTGTGCTCTAATGCTCTATTCCCCTTTTGCACTCCTGGGCCTGTATATCATGCACATGTATTCCCTGTATTCCCTTCTTTATCTTATATTGATATTAGCCATATTATAATTGTCAACCTTTATAAATGGGGAATTCACTAGAAAGTGATACTAATGCTCAGCTCTGAATGCAGGTGTTGTTGGTTTCTTTTACCAAATGTAACATGATGTTAACACACTGGCTGTGGTTACATATATCAAAATCTGATAAATATAATTATTTTGTAGTTATAAGATAATTCAAATGACCTGTATAAAGCCGAATCATCAAAGTTCTTTCTGATCATGGTCCCTTTGATTACTCATATGGGATTTTGTAGTTTACATGTCATTTAATTTTAAAGATCCAGAAATCAGATTATAAATACATTTTGGGATGCATGTGAACAAGGCCAATGACTGAACCCATTGCATTGAATTATTAGCAGGTCTCCTCATATCTCAGGCTCTAGTTGTCTCTAAATTGTATTTTGTGTTGTGTTGACACAGGACATAACATTATGATCAGTCCACTGCACAGGTCCCGGCCATTACACCAGTAGGGTTCAGTGGCCGCTTGCTTTGACCAATTATGATATGGAGATCTGAAAGTTGAAAAGGGTGGAGAAATTAACAGATAGAGGAGAAGTACAGTAATATTTTTTGCTTCATCATCAAATCTTTTCAATATGTTTGAAAATTTGAATTGTCGTTCAGTCAATCCTTGAGTGCACAGTGCCACACGAGAGCCTCAAAATCATCAGAATCAATCTAATACAGTAAATAGTCAAATTAATTCAGTGTCTCATTTTCTACTGGAAGGTTTTATACACTTGCAAACAGTCACTAGACATCTTCAGTTGTTCAGTGTGCCTATGGTTCCATTTCCTTGTCTTGTTCCTCATTTATCATGAAGCAAAAACCACCCAGGACTGAGAAGGGCCTAATTGCATACAGGGGTGAAACATGTGCTTACCATCAACAGCGAGAGCCGGAGGACATTTAGACTTAATAGGCTCTGATGATTATAGACACGTGATTACACAAGGTTTCCAGAGCACTTAGTTTCATAATACATCCAGCTAACAATGTTGGCTTCACTTTCAAGCAGCATATCCAGTTTAGAGCCAAATTATAAAACATGCACATTATTCTTAATGATGGTACAGTGTGCCTTGATGAGCCTTCTTCTATTGGAGATCTGCATAACCAAAGCAGTTATAAAAATGGATGTGTTTCTTGCAGGTGATGACAGCGCATGGATTAAGATTGCTCTCTGGCACAGTGAGTAAACAAAGTGAAATACAACATAATTTGTTGCCAAGATGTAATTAAATGTAAAGTCAAAGTCAAGGATATCAAGGTTATATAAAGGTCCTATATTACATAAAATTTTGTCTTATGACCTTTTGGCCATGTTATCATGCTGTTTCCTCCTCAAAAACGTACCCAGAGTGTTTTGTTTCATTCACACATTTGAGTTATTCTGCATTATCCAGCTGCCTACATCTCCAAAGCTCAAAATGCTCTGTTCTACCTTGTGATGTCATCTAGTGGTAGTTCTAAAGTTAATAGCTATCTTTTATCTTTCCAGGACTGAAATCAGACAAAGGATTCTATTGAAGGTGTATGGGGTTTAAAAACACAGTGGAGCACCTCCTGTTTTACCACATGACATCACAAAGTGGAACAGAGTGTTTTTTGTTTGACAAGAAGACATCTTAAATATGCAGGATTTGTGTGTTAAACATGTGTGAATGAAACAAAACATAACTCCAAGTATGTTTGTGATGAAGAAACATTATAAAATAGATCAGGAAATAGCATAATATGGGTCCCGTAACATAAAACATGATTTATTATTTGCAACAATCACCATGAGAAATTGCAAAAATATCTGAACAAAAAAATAAATGTCACTCTTTTTGAAAAAATAAAGATGTTTATTAAACTGTTATTTGTTTTATTTATTGAAGGACGACATGAAGGAGCCGACCCTGAAAGGAGAAAAGGGTGATCAGGTAAGTGCTGTTCCTCCATTTGTTAATGAAAGTCCTTTTTATTTATCTATTTAATTTTTAAGCAACAAGCTCGACCTTAGCTGTAACATTTTTCCCATTGCTTATACTACTTCTGCAAAAACACATTACACAAGGAGACAAAAGCACAGCCCACATGCTGAACTGTTCACAAGTGACACACCAACAAAATAAAATATCGCAAAGGTAAAACTTTCCTGAAATTCTGATCTCACTCCACGTCTAAAACACAGAAGTTAACTTGGAAGAAAATCTCAGTGTTTCTAACCTTCAAATTGAGTAGAAGCTTCATGAAAAGTCCTTGAGGAATTTTTTAAAAACTTGAAGCCAGTCGGCAGGAGGATCAGCTTCGCACTAGACCCTTAAGAAGTAGCGAATGATGGTTGTCTATCATATTTCTCTTATTTCAACAGGGAGAGGTGGGAGCCCAAGGACCTCCAGGCTTCAAGGTAACCTGTCAAAAGTCCTGTAACTTTCACTGAGCACAGTATCTTCTCTAACACTCAACACATGCCATGATATTGTACTGACTGAAATTCACTAAACAAAAAATGCATAAAACTGAGAACAAGTTGCACTAGGTAATTCTTATATAATTCTGTATGGGAGGTCCACCACCTGCTTGTCTCCATGGTGTTTATTATTGTTTTACCTGGAATTTTCCACAATATGTAATTAATAGAAATCTATCTTGCATTTACAGGAAATTTGAAAAGAAAAAACAGTGCATTCATTATTTTTTTTAAAGTGAGCGCAGTGTCTCCTTTCCACAAACTGACATGTAACTTGACCTGGAAGTGTCATCTGCTTGTCTCCATGGAAATAAATGAATTGAATGCCCTACTATGGAATATTCCAGGCCAAGCAATACCATCTCCATAAGCATGTAGCAGATCCTTTATCTGAAATTAAATAGTGCACCTTTAAATGGAATATGAGAGTTGGTCTTTTATCACAGAGTTATCAGTGGGTTTGAGTTTGGTATTTGGCCTATAGTATTTCAGATACTTAGACTTGCTGTATTTTAACCCGTTCATAACCTGTAGAGATATGCTGAAATATCATCAATACACTTTCATACATTGAACTTTAATATCACTAAACTATGACTGTTAATTTAACAGGGAGCTCCGGGACTACCAGGACCTAAAGGAGATCCGGGATCAGAGGTAAATCAAATGTAATACACTTAGAATGACTGTTATCTTTACTGTTTGGTGAGTTTTGAAACTGAACGGCTTTGCTAATGCTTTTTGGCATATAATAATATGTATTAAGGTTCTCATCACACTAGAATGCAACCTCAAGTGGTTTCATTACAATGTTAAACAACAGCTAACAACTAAAACATCACATCACTTTATTGATGCAGTTGCCTTCATGGCCATTTGGTAAAGAAGGTAGTGCGAGCAGGAAGACACATGAGACTCTTTTATATTTTAGTTGTTTTGCTTCAGTATGGACCCAGTTTCCATGGCAATAGGAAACGCTGGCTTGATGTGTGTATACAAAGACAGTAATGAGAGGAAAAGAGAATGCATCAACCATGAACGCAACAACAAAGTACGCTCTTAAAGCGTAAATATGTGAGGTTACTTGCCCTGATGTGATCTAATGCATATAAAAAAATATTTATTTAAGAAAGCAGCTAGGGAGCCTCTTTATCGGTGAATTTAGAAAGTGCTAGCAAAGCGCAGTTCCTATATTGAATAGTTGGCAAAAGGCGCCAGACACTGGTGCTGCACACAGACAGAAAAACAGGCCAAAATAATTGGTTTTCCTTTGTGTTTGGCCAGGGGAGACAGGGCCTGCCCGGACCCACTGGACTGCCTGGACTCCCTGGTGAGCCAGTAAGTATGCAGGCACCGAGCACTGGATATCGAGCTCAACTCTGAGTCTCCTTTTCTGTCACATTGACACATCCTATATCTCTTTTCCCTTACACAGTCACAACTCTAAAGTGGTGGTCACTTATTCACTTTTAAAATACCCATAATACAAATCAAAGTAAAACAAATATATAACTATTGTTGCATTACATTTGGAGCTCACTACACAGGGTAGGTGACAGGTCCAATAACACAAACAGCAGGGAGCAGGATTCAGACCTCCAGCCCTTTGGTTAATGGATGACCACATTGTATTGTTGCTTATCAGAGGCTTTCTTATCATAAGTACTTAAGTACGGAGCCTGGATTTTTTTTCAAATGTGTATTAATAATTTGAAGTCTTTTTTTCTGGCCACCACAGCAGATCTCACATCATCTGAACAGATAGAAGGTGGCAAGAGATGTCCACCATTTTACACAGTCGATCAGTAATCAAATTTAAAAATTAATTAGTAGAAAGTGGCAATTCTTAAGTGCTTGATGCCAGGAACGCAGGCAGAGACCCAATCTGTTCTCCGCACCTGCTCCAGTAATGAGCATCTGTCTTTATTCAAACGCAGGGTGGGAAAAGAGGCATTTCATAAATCCAGGCTAAGGGAAATGATGCTGGAGCAGGGCGGCCCGCTGAAGCAGTGAGGAGGAGGAGGAGATATATGTGTGCAGGCGATGAAGGCCCGATGATAGATGTGTCTCTTTTCTACACTATTTACAGGGCTCGCCAGGGGAGGCCGGGGCGCCAGGGAGAGACGGCCTGAAAGGAGAGAAGGTAGGTAAACTTCAAAATCCTCCTCTCACCTCAAAGGGAAATACAGACCTATGATGTTTATCACAGATTGAACATGCTACTTGACTTGTGAGGACCTTTCAGAATATGAGCTAGTCGCAAGAAGATAGCATTCTCTATTTTGGTGCCCGCACAACTCCATAAATATAAATGTCTCTCTACAATATTGTGAAAAGTTTCAAATTACAAAGTGAAATTCATATAAGTTTCATTTAATTTGGACAAAATACGCAAACATATGTAACATAGGAGGTGGCCAAACCTCCTTGTCAAAGACTGATCTCGTCAGATCTCAGAAGCTAAGCAGGAGACTATGGACCAGTGGACTCACTTGGTCATTGCATCCAACAGATCAGTGTGTGGATGCAAAACAACTTTCTCCAGCTAAACTCTGACAAGACAGAAGTCATAGTGTTTGGTCCACAGAAACAAAGGGACAGTGTCAGCAGTCACCTCCAGTCTCTCTCTCTAAAACCTTCAAATCAGGCAAGAAATCTAGGGGTAATAATGGACTCAGACTTGAACTTTAACAGCCACATCAAATCAATAACATCCGCAGCCTTTTACCATCTAAAAAACATAGCAAAAATCAAAGGTTTACTGTCTAAATCAGACTTGGAGAAACTTATCCATGCGTTTGTCTCCAGTAGGTTAGATACTGTAATGGTCTGCTCACTGGTCTCTCCAAACGAGCTGTGAGACGCTGCAGAACATCCAGAACGCTGCAGCTCGGGTCCTTACTCGAACTAGGAAGTACGAGCACATAAGTCCTGTGCTCAGGTCTCTGCACTGGCTTCCTGTGCCTCAGAGAATAGACTTTAAAGCAGCTCTGCTTGTGTACAAGTCTCTCCATGGCCGAGCACCAAAGTACATCTGTAACATGTTAGTGTCATATGAACCATCTCGCACTCTGAGGACCTCAGGGACCGGCCTCCTGCTGGTGCCCAGAGTCAGAACTAAACAAGGGGAGTCAGCGTTTCAGGTTCATGCAGCTAAAACCTGGAACAGTCTTCCTGAACATGTGAGACAGACTCTTCTGTGACGCTGTTTAAATCCAGGCTCAAAACATTTCTGTTTAACTGTGCATATAACTGAAAGGTTTTCATTCCGCACTTTTCTCTCCAATTTATGTCTCTCTTTTTTAATTTTAATCTTCATGATTATTTATGTTTTGATTTGTTTTTATTATGATTTTAATGTATTTCTTATTCTGTAAAGCACTTTGAATTACTTTGTGTACGAATTGTGCTATACAAATAAACTTGCCTTGCCTTGCCTTGCCTAAGCAGGGCCCGGCCTGGTTAACTTTAATGGGAGACACCAAACACAAAACAAACAAACAAACAAAAACAAAACAAAAAAAAGGTTATTGTATCCTTAGGCACTTCAAACATATTGCCTATTATTATTATTATTATTATTATTATTATTATTATTATTATTAGTAGTAGTAGTAGTAGTAGTAGTAGTAGTAGTAGTAGTAGTAGTTAGTAGTTAAGTAGTAGTTGTATTATTATTATTATTATTATTATTGTGTATTAATTATTATTATTATTTTAACATCCTTTTTGTTAATCCTTACTTTCTTCTCAGGGAGATTGTGGTGAAATAGTGGGGCCACCAGGGCCAAAGGGAGAGCCTGGCGAGCCTGGAGGTGGTTATATGGTAAGTATAGATAGAGAAACACTTTGCCGGGTCACAAAACACAAATGTAAAAGCGTTCAATAGCCCCATTGACAATAACGTACGTAGCACAGATTATTGGCTGGTATGACCCTGAAGTGCGGCCCAAGAGTTTTCCAGCTGTGTTGCTCATATGACATTATGGAGATGCAATGGTATTAAGTAATCCACCATAGGAAGAACCCTGCCCGTGTAATCACAGATCCTCCCATTTTGAAGCGTATAGCTACTCGGGCACTTGCTTTTATGGACATGGCTTTGCATATAGAAGCCATCATTACAGTTCCCCTCTCAGGCTCACAGGCAGTGGGATTGGGGCTGCGGTTCACTCTATTTTCAATCACTCTTCAGCTTTGAGAAATCATCTTGTTTGTTGTTTGCACATAGAAATGATGAGCCCGGCGACTTATGCATGCACTGTCTTTAGACCATTGAAGGTGCTTGAACAGTGTAGAAATTTGAGGACAGCAGGTGGAGAGGGCCACATAGCACTGTCGATAAGGGCTTGGAGGAGCTCTTGTGCTAAACAGAGCAAAGGCTAAACAAAGATGCAACACTTGTTGAGTAAATGGGAACATGACAGAACTATGACAGAGAGGACGTGTTCACATATGGTGTGATTATTAGACAGAACGGTGCAGATGGTGTGGGTGACTTTAATGTTTCAGCCATCACAAAAAGTTAATGTCACTTGATTGTGCGTTTTAAAAATAATTATGGGTAATTTCCTTTGGCTTTTACAATACACAGAGACTGACAGTTTGTTTTGTGAAGAAATAGCAGTAGTAGTCATAATGATAAACCATAATTGTAGTAATAATAATGCATCAAAATTATATTTTTCCTTTTTGACTCTTAAATGTGCACCATGTAACTTTTCTTGTGGGGGTCACCTCTCCACAGATCTGATTTGTAATTTGCCCTGATGCCATTACCTGCTTGCCTCCATAGAGGTGGATAAGTTTTATACCATACTGGCAAATTATAGGCACAGCAGTGACATCTTCATGTAAGCAGGTGGTGGACCCTCTACCAGAAACATTACATAGTGCAACTTTACAGGAGCGGCACAGTGGCTAGCACATCCTTCATATCAAGATGCCCTTCTGTGCATAGTTTGCATGTTTCTACCTGTATCTGGGTGAATTTCCTCTGGGTGCTCTGGGGTTTCCCCCATAAACCCAAAACATGCATCATAAGTAAACCTCCAACTAAGGTGGTTTTGACCTATCTTTGAGATCATGGAGATTGGCTCAGGGAACTTTACTGTAGTAGCTCGCTGTTCCTGAAAAGGTTGCCCCAGACACGCTGGTTGAAGGAAAGGTCTAATGCAGAGGGATTAATAAGATATATCTAGTGTTGGGGAGTAACAGATTACATGTACCGGAGTTACGTAATCAAGTACAAATTATGAGTAACTGTATTCAGTTACAGTTACTGTTTCAGTGAGTGGTAATTGGATTACAGTTACTTTGCTGAAATAAATGGATTACTCGGAGGTATTTTCCTGTTTTCACATTTTGGGCTAAACCAGGACTAAACCAGGACTAAACCAGGACTAAACCAGGACTAAACCAGGTCTAAACAGGTCTAAACCAGGACTTAAACCAGGTCTAAACCAGGTCTAAACCAGGATTAACCAGGACTAAACCAGGACTAAACCAGGACTAAAACAGGTCTAAAACAGGATTTAACAGGACTAAACCAGGACTAAAACAGGTCTCAAACAGGATTTAACAGGACTAAATCATGCTGTGCGGATGTGTCTCCTCCTCTTCTATCAGTAAATAACTTTTACTTTTATCTGACAAAACTTCTTATGTTACAATATCCTAGTCTTTGCTTTTCTACAGCAAATCAAGTAATCCAAAGTATTCAGATTATGTTACTCACTTTAAGTAATTTAATGGATTACGTTACAAACTACATTTTGGGGTATGTAATCTGTAATCTGTAGGGGAATACATTTTAAAAGTACCCTTCCCAACCCTGGATATATCTTAACCTTAAGATGCTATACAAGGATTTTAAACAATTAAATAACAATGATGTAACAAAATATAGAAGGCCAATAGTCTAATTTTGTTTGTTTATTCTTATAGGCTTTGTTCAAAATAGAGTAGTTCATTGTCTCCTATTATGCAATATGAAGCAGAAAGATTTTATTTTATTTTTTTATGCTGGATGCCCTTCCTTGTGTATTAATTTCCTTGAGTTCTATGTTTACTTTTATTTGTACCAAACTATTTAGTTGACCTTGATGACACTCAAAACAAAATTCTGTTCATCAGCATTCATTTAGATGAATTTGTACTATATTTTTATTGTCTAATAGGGCTTTATATAGATTTTTGTTGGCCAAAATTATACTGATATAAAGGGGCCTTTTGGTAGCTGATAGCCAGTATAACAGGCAATATATTTAGTGACGTAAACATTGACCGTAAAGCTGAATATAACTGATCTAGAGGTTGGCCCGACTATCGAAGTGTATAACTTTCTAACTCTGTGTTAGTGTTTTTGCAGTTTGGATCTTGGACATGCTGACCACAGAAATCAATGTCTCTTCCAAACTCTTCTGTAAATAATGCTTACAGTAGCTTCAGATTCTTAAGTGATTTACTTCTGTGCCCATTGTCAGTGTGCCACTGAGCACTGTAACTATAACAACAATATCAAACTAGTGTGTGTAGCAATAATGAAAACTACTAATTGGACAAAACTGGTTAAAGATGAATGCTCCACAGTATAGCTTTAAATTTATCCTTCTAGCATTTAATTATGGGTGTTACAAATATATATATTGTTACTTTGAGCAGGGCTGAGTCTCCACAGATTTGACTTATAATTTGGCCTAAGTTTGTTCTTATGGTGATTGATAAGGATAATGCTGCTTTGAAACATTTCAGGCAAAGCAATAACATCTCCATGGAGGCAAGCATGTCTCCACTAGAAAGCCATGTAGTGCACCTTCAAGAATCATCTCACTGATTAAAATAGTCATGTTTTTTGTGTTTCAGGCTGATGGTTTGCCCCTGACTAGAGGCTCACGTGGTCCAAAGGTATACCAATGCTCTAATAAATCCATTCATTTACATAAAAATATGTTTCACTTGGAATATGTTGGCATGGCTGCACAAATATGACCCTAAAGACCATTTATGTCCTGGGGTTGTAAGTTACATAATTCATCAACTTTATATGCTTGTACATTTTACTTGTACTTGAATCCTTATCTACTGTATTCTGTTTATTATGACCCCTATTCAGTCATTAGTTCATGGTTTATTAGACTGAAGAATTGATTGATTTAAGATTTGATTTAATTGTATGCCCACTTCTGTACAGGTGTTAAACAAGTAGTAACTAAGCCTCATGTAACATATGTACCATATTATGACGATCATTAGGAAAACACCTGGGCAATCCTTTTAATACAACATGATTTTATGACAACTTAAATAAAGATGACCTTGACAGCTTAATATACATTCACATAACCACATATAGAGCACGTGTGTGATAATGCCCTTGTCCATAGTGAAGCATTAATTTTCAAAGCCTCTAAAGACTTTGCACAGAGGTAAAATGAGTTCTAGTAGAGGCAGAATAATGATTGCACAGCTCCTCATCATAACTGCGAGCTTCAGTGTGAGTGCCCTCCTGCTGACGCCTGCTTTGTGCCTTTACCAGGGCGAAAGAGGGGTCCCGGGACTGCCAGGAGACCACGGAGAGAAAGGCGAACCTGGAGAAGGAGTTCAAGGCCCACCGGTCAGTTTTATGATGTATTGATCGTCTGCCTCCCACATTCATTATTAACTTCGAACTATGAGCTGCTGTGAAACCTCCACTTTAGTTATTAAAGGAAAAGCATTAGTTTTTGCTATCAGGACCAGAGTTCATTAAACAGAGGCAGATGGAAATTCTGGTCATTACTTTGAGGTGCAAACATAAGGTCGTATCATGTATGCTGCTTTTAGCAGCGCTGATTGTTGGTGAGTCTGGTTTCATTTCTGAGATACAGGATACTTGAAGACAGACAATCAATAGAGCAAAAGGTGTCTAACACAATTCCTTTATTGGATCACGGCGCTGCAGGGCAGACGGTGTTAACAAGATGTATGATGTGTTTTAGGGCCCTGTGGGACCCCCAGGAAAGCCAGGAATACAGGTGAGTCTTTGAACACACAAACACATTCTGTTTTCACAGACTTTATTGATGCATGCACAGCTGCTGTTTGAGTTTTTAATGATTCACTCCTGCTTTAGTAGTATAGGATTTTGTTCTTCAAAGCCAGACTGCTCATAATCAGAGTTTCTATTTTTATTTAGGGATCCCGTGGTCCCCCAGGTCCATTTGGCCCACCTGGAGCTCCTGGACGAGAGGTGAGTCAGAATAACAGTCCCTGTTAAATGGCAAAGCTCCAATGTATTCATTTTATATCAACCAAGCCGGTTCACTCCATCTCTCCAGCTGTGGCACATGTGAACAGGACTCAGTATGCGTGTGTTTTGCCAGGAGAATGGCTAATGCTTTTCTTTGTCCTAATTAAAGGGCTCCCCTGGTAGACCAGGCCCACCAGGCCCTGCTGGACCCCCGGGTGAACCAGTAAGTCAGATTTCATTGTCTTGTTGCTGTTTAGCATCACTGCTTTCCACTATGAGGCACTATGCTTAAGTCAAAGTTGCTATTCAAAGTGCAGCTTGTTTTTCTACATTTTTCACTCACCCCGCTGTGCAGTAAGCAGTACTTTCTGAAAAACATTGCTGTTTATGACAAATTGGCAGCACCCCATTGTTAGCTCATGTTTGTATTCTTTTTGGTCCTATTCAAGCCTTAAGCAAGAGTATAATTTTATGTAGTTTCAGCAGCAGTGAGAAGAATAACTAACCCTAAGAGCAGCCAACTACCACTGTTACATGAAAGCTGGCAAATGTAAAATTTTTTGAGTTATTCTAGGAAAGTATGAAAAGCCTGCAAAAAAACCCCCGACTTATTAATGGTCAATACAAAAAGAGATGGACTGCATTTGCAGTCAAAAATGTCATCCCTGACTTTCATTGCTACATACATGTTTTCTTCTTTGTTTTTAGACTGCTTTGCCTATTGTTGGTGACATGGGCTCTCTACTAAAGGTAATTTGTTTTTCTACATTAAATTTGAATATACACTACAAATTTTCATTCAAGTTGCTTTATTTCCAAGATTATTTATATTGTAGATTCTCACAGAAGACACTATGAATGAACACATATAGAATGTAGTAAACAAAATCCAACTTAAAATAACTTAAAACTTATTTTAGATTTTTTCTTTGTTTTTATCACTATAGACACTTCTTGACCCTGACAAGGATATGTAAAATATTTAATTTTAATTTTTTTCTTTACTATACTACCGTGTGTATTTAAAATGTAGAAAGTAGTAAACATAAAGAAAAAAACATGTGAAAGATTGTTTTTGGAATCAGAATGATATTCAAAATGTTATATCATAGACATGAACAAATACACAAACGTTTTTTTCCCCACTTATCCCCTGGTCCTAATTACAGAGAAAGTTGGCAGTAAATTGAAGTCTCAGTTCATTTTGGGACACTAGTCTTGACGTTTTAACAGTGTCCAAAAGTGGAGTACTTACTGCTCCTTTCACTGTAAGAGTTTTAATGCCGGGCTCTCTCCTGGAAGCTGCAGTGCCTACATTATCTAGACTGGATCAAGGACAATGATATTTAAGATTCACACCTAAATGTCACAGTCAATGAGTTTGACAAAGTTCAGCTCTCACCCACATGAGAGGCATTCATGGTGGGTTCACATTATTTTGGTTCTGCAGACATTTACAGAACTTTTTTTGTCAGTTGGGGTCTTGTCCTCTACCCAGGGGATGTGACTTAATAAAAGGCCAAAATGCACTGCCCAGTCTGAACTTAATGAAATCTTATGTATGTCACCATTACCACCCCTTGCTTGTGTCTGTACTGAACACAGAATGCCTGCAGTGCCTGTGCCAAGATCCCAGGGCTGCCTGGGCAGAAGGGAGAGAAGGGCTCCAGAGGCGAACCAGGGGTGGAAGGCATGGTGGGAGAAAAGGTAAAGTTACCTTGTCAGCATCCCAAATTAAAATCTTTATTCACAAAAGCATCATGCGGCAATCCCAAGGAAATACAGGTTTTAATACTGGAATACCATTTCCAAGATACTTTTAATTGATGTTAAATGAAAGACAGACTCAACGTTATTAGCAAAACAAAGAATTAAGGTAGTATAATTTTATAAAATGTCAACACTACAGGGCTGATTTACATATGGTCTGTTTACATTTCAGCCAATAAGTCAATAATCTAGCTATCTTCCTTCCTTTGTTTACACACTTAAAAGCTATATTATGCAAAACGGACTCCAGTGAGCTTTTAGCTATGTTATAATGATTTTACCGCCTGAAAAAAAACCTGCAGTTGTGTTTTGTCTCAATCTTACATGTTTAAGATTATTAGTCTGTCTGTATCCCCACTGCTCAAAATACTCTGTTCCATATTGCAGCGTCAATACATATACATGTATTTTTATATATATATATATATATATATATATATATATATATATATATATATATATATATATATATATATATATATATATATATATATATATATATAGTAAATCCGTTACATTTAAAGAGATTGTTGCTTTGTTGCTTTTATTTCTGAATATTTTTGTTTTACATTTTGTGCAACTGATTTTGTCAGCAGAATGTTTCCAATATCTGCTGGTGTAGCAAGGAGTCAAACATTTTCAGTGAGGCTAAAACAATAGCTCTAACTTCAAAGTTAGGCAAATCTAGGGCTGAAATGATCAAAATGATTTTAGTGAAAGTTTACAGAGTTTAAAAAAACAGCAAAGCATTTCCTGTATTACCACTTAATGATATCACAAGGGGGAACAGAGTATTTTCAGTTTGAGAAAAGAATACTAAATATGCATTTGTGTGTTAAACATGGTTACATGTGTGAATGAAACAAAACCCAACTCCATGTGTGTTTGTGATGAGGAAAGTACATGTATCGGCTCAGTACTGCTCTACAGTTTGGTTTGATCACGATCTGTACAAAAGCTGCCCATTCAGGCCGTTTATAGCACTATCCTGAAGTGTGTTTTCTTACCCTGTCTGCAGGGTACTGCTCATGGCATAGCACCTCCTCCAGCAAGCGCAGGTCGTGCAGTCACCCTCTCCGTGTTTTAATGGTTTTATCAATGTGGGCAAAGCGGTAAAATGAGAAACATTTATATGACAATAAACATATTCCATAATTCGCGGACCTGTTTAGGGCGAAATGTAGTGGATACCTGTGAGACGAGAATGCGAGCGGTGAGCAGTAGCAGTGGTGGAAACTTGTACCTCAGCTGAGAGACATGGGACAGGTGGGAGCAGACTGGTGCGACCAGGGGGGAGAGGAGATCAGCGGGTCTGATGTGGGATGGGAAGCACTCAACAAAGACACCGATCTGCCGTGTAATGAGAGGCAAAAGGAAAAAAAACTACGGTTGACATGAGTCAGGGGTACGTGCGCATGAGAGGGGTGTACGTGCTCAGAGAATACAAGCTTGTTCTGTGACGGCCAGTACAAAATTATAATCCTGGCACCTCTACGTACTTACCTCGTGGGGCTCCGGAGCTGTTTTTTATATATATATTTTTTTTCGCCACACCCATCTTTACTGCCTGGTAATAATGGCAAAGATTGCAGACATTATCCACGCTGGCAGTGATTTTAAATGCCACAGCGGTAAAAGATTGGTTCAGATGCCATCATCATGTATGTATATACATGGTATATATATGTACATGTACCATCCCACTCCAGCCCGCAAGTACAGCCCAACCTGGACACGCCCCTTCATTAACGCTTGCAATCGCACAAAGACTGGTGGCAAGATAGGGCCCAAATAGTTACACTACAATGTTGCACAAAATAGTGTAATATAAGCCCTCTAAATATACACAAATTTCTCTTATAAAACATTCCTCTTATGAAACAGCTATGAGTGCTCACAGACCAAGTGCACCCAGTTCATGATTAAGTTTACATTTTTCACTTAACTTTTACACACAAAATATTTTATGCTTCACTGATCTCATCTGGACTGTAACTGCTATTCAGCCCAATCTACAATAAATAGTGTTATAATAATAGTAGTCATGATAATAGTAATGGTGGTAATAATAGTATTAATAGTAGCTATAGTATTTAATAGTTTGTTTTATTAATATGTTGGTTCTTTGATAGGAACAGATGCAAGATGATTTTTTCTCAAAGTAACACATGTCAACATCACAATTTTAAAGCTAGCATTATTTCATAACACCTGCCTCTAGAGAGATCGGTGACAATTATTGTTCAAGATGAATAATAAAAAGACAAAGAGTACAGTATTAGTTTCAAAATCTAAATTGTGTATCTCTGCATGTTTCAGTCCATTTTATTTTTAATTATTTTGCTCTACAGGGGGATCCAGGTGTCAGGGGTCCCATGGGTAACCCTGGTAAAGAAGGTCCAAAGGTCAGTAGTTTTACTATTGGCAGTGTCTGTGTTATGTTTATTGTAGATACGAGATGATGCATAGTGCTTGTGTCAGGAGCTCTTCATAAATGTCTATGTGAGTAATTGCCAAAGCCCAGCTGAGGTACAAATCTATTATTTTGTACCTGCAGCAGGGGCAGTTGCTATGGATACAGTTAGTAGTCACATACAGATGAAAGTGTTTTGAAGTTTAAATCTGACAGTCTTTAGTTTGTTTTTTTTTTTGGTGAAGAACACAATATATTACTCTATCTCATGGCTCTCTGCTTTTTCTACAGGGAGTGAAAGGCGAAAGAGGGTTCCCAGGCCCCACTGGAGATAAAGGCGATGAGGTGGGCAGAAAAACAGAGTTTGACCAAATAACAAAAACAAACATAAATAGTGGTTTGCTATCTGGAAGTGCTGTGACATCTGGAGGAACTATTTTAAAAGAATGAAAATTTATTTTAATGTATGTCATACATTGAAGTGTGTTTGGAGATGATCAAATTCTATTCACTTGGATGTTCTAGCACTTTGACCTAGCTTTTGTAGAAATGTTCTGAAAACTGTTTTCACCTTTTGGTTTACTATACAACGAGGCACATCAGAGGACCTCTTTTTCTAGTTTATTCGATTTACTAAGAGATGCTTTTATAGAATGTTTTTCCTTTTCTCACATAAAAGACTCTCTGGGGGGGCACATTATCTTTCATAAGCATCAATAATACAGTTTGAACGAAATGGCGTGTATGGCTTTTATTGATTTGTTTTTTAAACTTGACTAGAATTTCTATCTAACCTCTATCCAAGTATTTCTCTAAATCAACATGTTTGGTATGGCTTTGTGTGCCTATTATAAACCATAAGTGTAAATATAATTTCTCCTGAAATGTGTTTTGATCTTATGTAGGGCCCAGCTGGAGTCCCAGGCCTCCCTGGAGCAGCCGGTCGAACTGGAGCCCCGGTAAGACTATTTGAATGAGACTAAGGCTTAATTAGAGCATGACCATTGAGGAGAAATTTGTGCATAGCTTTGTGAAGGTCATGTTTTAGTATACACTGCTTTGTTTACAGGGGATTATGGGTAGACCTGGTCCAGCCGGACCACAAGGAGGAAAAGGAGAAAAGGTAACTGCTGCTCTATTATTCCTGTAACCACTTTACACCCAATTGCCTAAATTGTAGACTGTATAGACAGATGATGGTTAAAACAGTTTTAATTTAATATGAGACTAATGTGTTTTTTAAGCATATACAGATATATCAAAAGGGAGATTTTTGCCTTTATCTTTGCAGTATAGCAAACTCACTGTAATTTGTACCAAACTCAGTTCAAATCCCAGCTATCACAATAACAACTAACAATAAACTTAAGGGAGCCAGAATGGATAGAGTGTGTTTTAGACTGGGAAATCCTTGGTAGAGGTTTCAACTCCTCAAACCTTTCTAGCTGTAAAATAAAGGGTTAAAGTATTATTCTTGTTTATATCATATCATTGTTAATAAAATTTTGGTAAACCTCTGCCCTGCTGATTTACACTTCTTTCCTTTAGGGAAATGAAGGTTCTCCAGGAAAGCCAGGCCCCCCCGGACCTCCTGTGAGTTTCTCTGTTTTTTCCATCAAAGCCCTAAATCGATAAATTCCACAGTCAAAATATGGACTCTGTCAATGTGAACCAACTAATAAAGTTTTTACAATTGTCTCATAGATTATGTTGGTCCGCCCTGCTCAATCCTGTTGCCATTTCACTTTCCTTATATGTCAAGGAGATTTTCTCCATGTATTTTGCCCAACAAGAGACACATAACTGACAAACAGCTGCAAATGTGATAAAAATCAGACTGACCAGGGCCTTGGCATTGAATCATGGCCCCTTCCTTTTAAGAGGCCAGTGAGTAAGCACTTCCAAAGGCAAATCTATAATTCATCAGGCTTCCCTTGAACCTGCCCCCCCTCATACACACCCCTCCAACTCATAAACACGAGTCTGGGAGGACACAAGATGGCTCAGTGGCTTGAAAAGGGCACAGGGAGCTACTTGCTTTTAAATGAGAACCTTGACTCTCTACATTTACAATAACTGCCCTACAATAATCTATCAGAGTAAAAACTGGCTTTTATATCCCAATACACCAAAAGTAAAGTTTCCTTGTTCAATTTGAAATGTCCATTATTGTAACAAAAATAAAATGGTTTAATACAATGTTTTTGGATGGCCCTTGAAGCAGTGCTGGCCTCATAAAATTTTTGAGTAAACAACATCATATATATTTATTTTGAAGTATTTAAACATAAAATTATGTCTGAATAAAGTTACTACTACTGCCCAGCAGGAAGTCTGAGCTCTGGTTAATATGAACATGTTCTCTTGTTCTATTTTTTTTTTTTTTTTTATTCCTGCTAATGCCAAAAGACAGGTGTTAGAGAGATTAATCATGTCTCATGGTTATTGGTATAGGCATCAGTACAGTAACCAGTATAGTAATTACTGGGAAGTTATGAATTTATAAATTTTTGGGTCACTTTTCAAGTCCCCTCTAGTTTGTTTTTTCTGGTTTGTTTAACCTAGTGAGATATTTAACCTTTTTTTAAATTACTTATGGCTTGTGGTTAGGCCTGCTGGTCACTATTTTCCCTGTGCTTTTCATTTTTCACTCTCCCATTTCCCATTTGTACAGCCTCCAAATGAGCTATTGATTCATTTTATGTAGCCTTTAAATTCTTAACTAGACCTACTGTACTGGTTTGTGGTTTGTGTTAATACTCTTAAACTGACTCTCAGTTCTGTTCCAGGGCAATGGGATGGGCAGTCTCTATAAGCTGCAGGTAAGGACTCTGCCTTTACCACAGAGCCATTGTGACAGAGTGATTCAGGGGCTAGTGAGTGCTGTCTTCAATCATACCGTCAGGAATAAATTTGTGCTTTAAATGTGCTTGACCCATATTGTAAAATATACAGCGGGGTAATAAAATTTAAAAAATATGTCTTTGCAGAGCACTGGAGCTATTTTAGGACCCCCCGGAGCTCCTGGTGCACCGGTAAGGATATGATCGCTTTGCTTGAAGCCAGTGCTCTCACAGTGTGCTGTGGAAGCAGCACACGCAGATACTGTAACACAGAGAAGACCTGAATATCAAGTAATCCCACTTATTCTGTAACGCTCTATCGTTATGCTATAGAACAGTTCAGGTTTTTGTAGAGAATTAGACCATGTTCTAAAGTGAGGTGGTAATGTGAGTATAATACATTACAATACATTTTCCTTGGATTAATAATACTTGATCACAAGTACTTTAAAGTATCAACTATTCCAAAGGGTTTGTCATTTTATTATTGTAGTAATATTTATTTGTTTGTTTCTCTCAAACATAAAGTTACATAAACACAAAACAGGGCTACAGGCATTACCAGGGCTATACAAACTTAAGGTAAAGGTTTCTCATGTATTAATAGTTAGGTATTTATTTCGTGTGCTAAAATAAGGAAAATAAATAAAGACCATATACATTATACATCCATATGTTATCTAGCAATTAATTGATCTGTTGCCATAAATGGATTTGTGTTTGCTTGATGGGCACTGAATACACAATTCTTCGAAGGGTCAGTTTTACAGTGAAAATCAAATTCATTGAAGTTTTTTTTTTTTTTTTTTACCTCTACCTAGCCCAGAGCACTCACCACACTGAAATAGCACTAGATACTCCAACATAACGCTGGTTGGAGTGACCTGATTTGCTTATCAACTCCCCCTGCCCCTTCTTATCAGACAGTTTGTAATCTGGATGGTCCGCTGTGCTCTGTACTGCATCCATCACAGCCCCGGTGCTCCTCCCGGCCAATCAATACTAAAGCATCTTCATCAATGTTAAGAGGGACAAGGGCACCTATATATCAATAAGTCCTTTTGGTGTGAAAAGATGCAGAGTGGCACAAAATCTGAAATGGCTTGGTGTTTGTGGAAGATGACTCGCACTATATCACCCTGATTATGTACAAGAATGATTTATAAAGGGAAATTCAACAAAAAGAACAGCCAATAATGTATGCCATAAATTCTAGGGGACATATCATTGAGTATCCTTACACTGTCATTTTAGACTGTTTTTATGTGTTTTACTGCCGCACTTGTCACATTCATGAGAGTAATCTGTCCTCCTTTGTTCCGTTTAAGGGTCCCAAAGGAGATGATGGGGTTGTGGTAAGTTTTTCATTTCAAATATATTTACGTTGAATTATTTGTCTGTTTTTGAAGTGTAGAGAAGTAGGACAGAACAGAAGTCAGTACCATTTTCTATCATAGTGTCTCTACAGAAGAAGTCAATACACCCTCCAGCCTCCACACTTAACCACTCTCTCAGCAGAGCTTTAGCACACAACAAAAAATGAGCATGTCTCCCGAAAACATGAAACCAGTGTACCATATTGTCTCGCCACTGGCAACCCACAACCTCTTTTCAGCACTTCAAACACCTGCCCTCCCTCCCTCCCCCTTAGTGATTTCTTGAAAACAATCCACACTACACTGAAACATGAAGCAGGTTGCTGCATATGCCATCAACTTGAATTCCTTATCCTCATGGGGCCAATTGCATTTTTTTATTGTTTTGTTGCACAGTGATTTTTCACCAGGATGTTAATTTGACATTTTAATAAATTGTACACGCAGACCTGGGTGCAGTGGTTGGAATTGCCCCAATCTGTCTCGCAGCTGATCCTCTGGCTACAGCCCTCTCTCCTCTCCTTTATAGGTGCACTCGCTTATTCACGACAATCTACATGTGTGACAATTACCTGCACAATCCGTCTCTGTCAGAACTGCTTTGGCCTCTTCGCTCGCTATAAAGGCATTTCTTCACGGCAGTTTGAGCTAGAGGGGGGGTCGCATAGTGGGCTTGGAAATGCATGGCTCTCTATTTTTAGTCCGATTGTGATTGTCAAATACGGTTTTCTCTTTGAGCCTGTCTCTAGCCTACCAGGTGTGACAGCCCATGTCAAAAGATCACATAAATAATGTGCTGGGGTTGAAGCATTGTCCTCCAAGAATTATCTCTGTATTGACATGTGAGGGGTTATTTTAATACATGACCAAGTCAGAATAGGAAGCGCAACTGATGAAATTGGATTTACCTGCTTTCATGTGCTTTGATGTATATGCTCCTATACAGGCTGCATTTTTGACAGCCTTGTAAAACTACTATATGGCCTTGATAATAAGCATGTCTGGTTGCTGCAGGTGAGCTTACAACTTCCAGTAATGATCCTTTGTTTTGTGTTGTAGGGTGAGCCAGGGCCTATGGGATTACCAGGGCTTGATGGGCTTCCTGGTGCCAAGGTAAGCAAAGCTGGTTAAAAATGTGTGCAAATATACAGTTTTCTATAGGCATGGATGAGTTAAAGATGCAGGATAATTATTATATGGTATGTTGCTTGCAGACTTTTGCTGTGAATAAAATTGTATTCATAGTGAATGCTGATATGGTTCTATAGTTACATTCCTATCCATATTACCAATGCAATCTGTAAAACTATTTATTAATAAGTTATGCATTTTTTTAGGGAGACATTGGTTTACCTGGACCTCCTGGAATGCCTGGTCCAGCAGTGAGTTCTGTTTTATTCTCTCCCAAATATTTCATAGTTAACAATTTCTTGTTTAATATATTTAATACTGACTGTACTAGGATTGTGACCTTTAACATTAATGTTTAAAGATGTGTAGATACCTCCTGGAGTTCACTGGTGCTGAGTATGTATTTAGTAGAAAGCTTTAGATGACACTATGGGTTGAGGTGTATGCGTGTGTGATTGACAGGGGAAGCCCGGTGCGCGTGGAGAGCCAGGGATCCCAGGAGAGCCGGTGAGCTGCAGACACTAACTCTCTTTGAGCTGTCAGTCCTCACGTCACTCCTTTGTCACGCCGCCTGACACGCGCTCTGTCTGTTCTCAGGGTGAGCGGGGACCCATTGGAGAAACTGGATTCCCAGGACCTGAGGGACCCCAAGGTCCTCCTGTAAGAATGCTACATGCTACATTTTTTTTGCTCAGTTATATACAGCATAGATACCCACCACTTTCCAATCACGGCCATACTGGGATTATGCCTTCTAAGTGGCATTTATTTCTCTCAGATGGTTTGCCCATTGTTATTTCAGTGAATGCATGGAGAAAAACTGTATTCAAGGACAATATGGAGGGAATAATTTGTCCTGTTGATGATTACTTTACTCTATGTAATTACCATCAGAAATGGTTTCTGTAATTTTCCCTGTATGTGCACAATGGAGCAATGTGCACTCAGCAATCAGGGTCATTATCCCTTTTTGAGATATCTCATTAACTGTGGAGATTACTAGGAGTGCAACAGCGCTGATCCAATCGAAGGTGGGAGCTGATACCAAATGTCTTTGTTTGTGTTGTTCCTCTTGAACAGGGCCGTGCTGGAAGAGATGGGACTCCTGGATACAAGGTGAGAGCTGCAAATCCCCTTATAGAAAAGTACTTTACATCATCTCAGCTGCAAAAAGATGGCACAGCAGATTCTTATCCAACCTCGGGCAACAGCGTCCGGAGTGAATTAGGCTCATTTGCATTTTCAAGATTTGATAAAAAACTAAATAGAATTTGCACTTTTAAGGCTACTTTGACTTTAATTCATTTTACCCTCATTATATCCTTGCTGCTCCAAGATAATGATAAAATGTTTGCCATAGAGCACTCAAGACACCCAGATTAAACATAACATTTCTTCCTCTCTTTCTAGTGTGCTTTAAGTGAAAATAAGTATTCCTCCCCTTTTAAAATGTAACTGATTACATCTGTTTCACACCATTTATTACATCAATGCAAAGTGACTCATAGACATTAACGGACAAACAATCTGCTATTCTTTGCTGCCTTAAACCTCAAGGACATTATCTGTAAATTAACGCTTTTCTTTGTGTAATTAGTTCATATTATTTCTACCAGAATCTGAGCTGTACTGAGCCGCATTAGATCCCTTGTGTGAACCTTCTCTATAACTTTATCATGCAGCAACAGTGCCATCTAGCAGGTAGCTCTACACCTCTTGTCTCTGCTCTTTGCTCACCTTAATGTAATGCTCAGGGAAGCACATTTCAGTGGGCAAGATGATAGATTTAAGCTTCCCATCATGCTACAGGGAATACAAAAGTCGTGCAGATTAAACTAGGCAGGGGAGTAGGAGCGTCACTACTCGATGCCTGCTTTAAAACCACATCATGCCATATTGTCTTTTGCATGGCACCTGGAATCCACTAGGAAATTGATAGAAAGATGTTCTCGAAGGGATTGGCACTGAGCATGGTAAAAGGAGAAGCAATGAGGAGTGACAGGGAGGAATTGGAAGACACTGAAAGTTGTGACACAAGCCAATAGGCAGTCTCCGAAGTACTTCCATATAGAGCGGTATAGCGTAGAGACAGGTGGAGAAAAAAGCAGGTGCCTCTCACAATTCAACAAGACAGAGGCGGGGGGTGGAGGGGGGTGACTTTGCAGAAGGTGAAATAGTATACAGGGAAATAATATACAAGCTATTCACCTGGGCTGGGAAAAAGGCGATCAATGCACATAAGTCTGTGTTTTTCAAAGTCAAAAGGCTCTGGCAGTGAACTGATCAGGAACTTTTCTTCAAATATGTGCATTTGTTTGAAAAAGCCTACCCCAATATACCATTTACACATTTACTCAATCCATATTGAATGTTTTCACAGAATTTCAGCATACTTTATCAAATGATGAAATATCCAACTGCTTGTAAAACATATCAATATTTTAGCTTTAGCTGCAGAAGTGAAATGAGTTGTCAACTCAAATTGTGTACTCAACTAAAAGACTGAGGGAAGTTCTTGGTACAGGAGTGGATTTTGTGTATTTCAAGAGCTGAACACAACTCCCCAAAATATATAACTTAAAACTGCACTGTGTAACTTTTCTGGTGCTTGCATCATGGAGATGTTATTGCGCTGCCTGGAATGTTCCGCAGTATAGCTTTAAATGTATTCAATTACAGGTCTTTTATTTGCTAAAACACACCTTGAAAAATAAATATACTTACTGTTTCTTACCTGTCCACACATGTTATTGGGCATGTGGAACATTCCAGGAAAACAATAACATCTCCATGGAGACAAGCAGGTGGTGGACCCTCCACCAGAAAAGTTATCCAGTTCACCTTCAAGAAAACAGTGAAAATAAAGAATACAATTTCTTTGTCATGTGAAGGTGTATTTGTGTATTCTTTTAAGCCAAGCCTCAATTCTGCCTACATGTGATCAATATGTTGTTACCTGTTACTATCTCGAGGTTATAAACAATTCACCTCATTAACATATGTGTGCTCTTCCTCAGGGAGAGACGGGGAGACCTGGAGACAGAGGCTCCAAAGGAGAACGTGTAAGTAACTGGCACTCTGTGAGTCAGCCTGACACTAGAGCAGCCGTATATTCATTTTCATTCAAATTAAAGTCTTCAGTGCTGCACAAACAGGACTAATCCCACTAGCACCTAAGCACTAGAGAAAGGAACTTCATGTTTGTGGTTTCTCATTGTACAAGGCTCCATTAAAGAGCTCTGTCAAAGAGCTGGAGTAACGCTTCACAAATATTGGTTAATAGGTTAAAAAATAAAATGCCTAGAATTGTGGTTACCAGCCAACACCCCCTTGTGAGATGGTGCAGTCCCTTATTAATTTTTCTGATTTTATTTGTATTTAATTTAAAACATTTTAGATTGAGCTAAGTAACTGAAAGGTGTAGACTTCTTTTCAATATTCAATAAGTAATTTGTAAACTGGCTGTCTGTAGGGCGACCCAGGCATTCCTGGAGAGCGAGGTGTCCAAGGAGAGCGAGGACGCACCGGTGACTCTGGTCCATCTGGACCAATGGGACCCCAAGGCCAAAAGGGAGACCCAGGTCCTCCGGGATGGCTGGGAAGTTCACATCTTCTGGTAAATGAATTTTTCATTTTTCATCTACCTTAGAACTAGGTATGATCAATATTCTAAATACCTCATCCAAGATTTGATTCTCAGAATGAACAGGCCCGCTCTGTCTGTGCTTAATGATATAGTATAATGAATAAGCATTGACAAAACATAATTATTTTTGCTAATAATTATGTAATGCTATGCCATCACTTCTGGGTATCAGGCTCTAGGTGTCTACCAGAACTAAACCAGGCCTAAACTGAGGTTCTGACTGGTATAAGCAATGAACAAATGAAAAACGCTTGAGAACTGCAAAATAAACATACCATACATTTGATATTCATTTAGATACATAACTCAATGCCTTAGCATGTACAGTTCTTGTCCAGTGTATTGTTCAGTCCCTGTAAGAACTATTTTAGCCCTTCTCCCTTCCGAAGCTTGTATAACTTCTCTTCTTTCATTCTTTGTGTGGAAAAATGGCACAGCTGCTACAGATTTCTGCATGAAACATCAAAAAGGCCGGTTACAGAAAAGGTTTACTGTTCTTTTTCTGCTCCACACTTCCCACTCTCGATCAGCTCAGCGCGAGGGAAGGTCAGGGAGAGAGAGACGCAAACACAGCTTCTCGTGGGCGTGCCTCCTGCTCAGCAGCGCCCCCGGGTGTCACCGATACTTTACACATAACGCTACACAGTCACAAAGTTACATAACACCCAAAGCACAAATGAAAACAGAATCGAATGAGTCCAAGGCTACAATTGTACTGTTTTTAGCAGCGAGAATGCAATGTTTACTGATAATGCTGCTGGCTCTCAGCTCTGATTTAATTCACTAATTTGAGGTCTTGAAAATAACATAATATTTTTTGTTTTAAATTGTGAATGTAATCTAGCCAACCATCAGCTAACTCCTTTATTTTCTGCAATTATTATTAAATGTTTTATTTTCCTATCAGTCAGTCACAAAGTGCTTATTAGTGGGTGTTGTTAGCTTTAGTTCTGCGCTGTTCTCTCAGAGTTGTGAAAGGCACTGGTAAACTCATCACAGTGATTAATTAGGATGTTTAGAAAATATAAGGTAAGTGAGGATATTTCTATTTTTCCAGACAGTGAAAATCAGGTACAGTGCCTATAACTGGGGAAGTTATGTGATAAATGTATTTATAGTAAAATTAGTTTATGCTAACTGGACCTCAAAAAAACATTATGTTCTTGCTAATACAGGGTGATCCTGGATTTTTGGAGGAACTGAAAACAATCATTCGGAATGAAGTTTTAAGGGCTATGGAAGGTAAGCTAAGACAAATGTAAATTCTTTAATTATAGTTTTTTTTTCTAACACACTTCAGTGCATTTCTAATGTCCTTGTAGACAAAGTGTCACACGCTTCCATGATGCAGAAGACTCCAGCAGGGATTTTAGCTGCTCACTTCCAAGGACCTCCAGGACCACCGGGCAGAGACGGGTTACCGGGCCTACCTGGAGAGCCTGGTTCTCCTGGTCCTCAAGGTAAGAACTCGCAATTAACTCTTGACCCAGTAGTTATTAACTGCCAATGCAGCCCTATTACTATTCTATTATAACTATACTGTGTGTTCTTACTATAACTCCTGCATAACAAAGGTGGAAAGTTACTAATTAAACTGAAGAATTTATTTACTTTTTCTTAATTTGACTCAGATTTAAATTGCCAGTTTAGTTAAGGTCATTTTAAGGCAGTTTTTTTTTTTTTTTTTTTTTTTTAATTATTAAAACAACAACACTGAAGGACTTTGCCATTGATATAATGTTGCTTATGCTTGAGCACATGCATCAAGTTGTACCTTTCCATTTTTGTTGTAGTATGAGACAGAGCTGGTGAACAAGTGCATACTATACTACACAACTGGTACACTGCCATAAAGGTCCCAAAGTGACCACCACCAATCTCTAGCTGTAAGAAAAGCATTTTGGTTCAAACCTGGGCGACACGGTGGATTTGTGAGGAGCTGACACTTGTATTTCGTATGGGATTCATGGGCATTTCTCTCTCGCTAGAGCCATATATCAAAGCAGACTGAAGCGGAGGACAGCAGCTCGGGAAAATATGAAGACAAAAGAAGAATAAGAGAAAGTATTATGAGAGTGGACAGGAAAGAGCCACAGTACTGAAACTCTCCTCTGAAATAAGCAAGCTCTAAAACACTACAGGAGTCAGTAAAAAGGCTGGACATCTTCATCCGTGTGACTTTCTGACTGCTTGATTTACTGGTTTGCTATAGGTTTTTTGTCTTAAATTTTTTAGCTTAGTATTCACTTTAGCTAAGCTGTCTTAATTAAAGGTGCACTGAGTAATTTTTGTGGTAGAGTGTACATCACCTGCTTTGAAGATGGTATCACCTTGTATGGAATGTTCCACAGTATTTCACTTTTTTCAGGTAATGCAACCAGACCAAATTGCAAGTTAAAGCTAAGGAGAGTCATAGTGAGAACACATGCTTTTCAAAGTATCAATAAAAACACCAGAAATTAAATAAATGGTTGGTAAATAAGTTTGGAACATTTCAGGCAAAATAATGACATCTCCATGGAGACAAGCAGGTGGCAAAGTTACACTGTGCACTTTTGAATTTTAAAGTGGACTGTTTGGTGCAGTTCAGAGCACCTTTGTATCTACCTCACATGATTAAGACCATTTACACTATAATCGACTGCTTTGATTGTACTTGTTGCTGTTAAGGCCGAAGAGTATTGCTAATGTATGCACTGACTAAATATTTTGCTATGTTAATGCCATTTGCTTAACACGTGTATCAAATGTTGTTTTTGTGTTTTTTTAAGCTTCATAATAATGTTTTATAGATGATTTTAATGAAAATCTGCATTAAATATTTACTAAAAATAAAAAGCTTAGTTATTTCCCATGATAAATCAGAAATTCAACAAGTTTCTTAATTTTTCGTTGTCGGCCTGTGCCTCCACTCAGCTGGGGAGTGAGTTGGGGGTAATATTTCCTCATTATTTCCCGTCATCCGCCGCTGGAGACTGTGCTCCTTTGGAATATCCAATTTAACTTATTTTCCAATACGCCAAAATGAATTGTTTATGGAGAAAAATAACCCCTGTGTTGGATTCGCGCTTGTTTTTTCTCTTGGTTTGATTTCACGTGGGGCTAAAGTCTAAAGTGGTGTTTGGAGAAGAGCATACATAATTACCCTGTTTTCTTTTCCGATTTTCCTTTTCTGTTGTAATTGTGTGCCTTTTTGTTGGAGTCGTCTTTGAAGTGAAATTGATTTGAGCGGGTGCAAAGAACAGCCCCAATGTCAAAAGTATTATAGGAGTATAAAATCAACAATCAAAATGATAATTTGCCAACATACAATACACAAAATATTACATGGAGATATTTCACAATCTCTCAAACGTATCATGTATAAATAGTTTACATTGGATGATGGCTGAAAATATTAAAAGTGCAATTTTCCACAAAGTCTTATTACTTTTTTCTTTTTTTAAAAACTTAAGTTGTGTTGCTGGTACTGGAATGCAGAATGTAGTATTTGAGTTTGAGATTTGCTAATCTTTATAAATGATTAATATTGTTAGTTCTATGTTCTCTTGAATGCTTTGCTATACTTTTTACTGTATTGTATATCAATTTTCAAAGTGTATTTCATGATTTGAGACCTTTCTTGAGACTGTGAGAGTAAACATGCCATTATCATTTCAATCATAGCTGCACAATTGACTGTTTGTTCTAGTTAAAAATACGGGCAGTAAGTGGGGAAAAATCTACATTGTACATCAAAGGTAGTTTAGTAAAGTTTTTTTAAATATAGGCATTTCGAGATTCCAACAGATTGAAAATTAGATGTTACATCAAAAAGTCTATTAAAAAAAAAAAAAAAAAAAAAAACATTGTCCAGATGACTACCTTTGAAACTTTTCTACCATGGACGACTCCAGGATGAATGAGGGATTACACAGATTCATCAAAATGTAATAGCAATTGTTCATTATTACTATCACCAGGATATTGTACCATCAAGTCAGGAGTGACCCATTTTCCATTAGTTAACACAGCAGACTACTGTGCCACGCTGGCTTATTATTGCCTTGTTTTCAGTATATTTCTACAGTAAGATACAGGGCTCTCCCTCCATGGACTGTCTGCTCCCTGAATGAATGCCCGGGGCCCTGTGAGTGTTGAAAGAAGTCTCATTATTGCGACTGCCCCTCGCACTTTTGAGCATTCATAAGGCGTTTTTTTTTCAGTGACTTTCTGTGACATGTAAGCGATGAGGCATTTTCCCTTTGGGCCATGGCAGTGCAATGCTCGATACCACTGTCAATGTTTCTGATGCACTTTATGGGAGGCTGGTCCATTATTTTAAGTGCCTTGTGGGAGAAGACTTTTGCACAGGCTCTTAAATTTGTACTTGGTATGCAGCTTGTTTAAACTGTAAAGACACAAGGCTCTCTGCATGGTGGAGTCTTTGCTGAAAATGTTTGCATGCATTTAGTTGTACAATGCAATGCAAATATAGGATTGTATAGTCAGTTTGAGACACTAACACTCACTTTGTGCTTGCATTTCTATATGATGATACATAAAAGACCTGCATGTGATTTAACATAAGAGATGTCCTATACTGGAGCTCACTGTTGCTTGTGTTATGTGCTGTTTGGGTTTTGTTGAGTGAATTACTTGCCTTTTGAACTCATAATTTTTAGACTTTCTATTCAAGTGTCCAAATTGAAACAACCTTTGATAGCATAGTCTTTTATTGAAAAAAGAAGCTTTGCTGTTCATTCAGAAATCTTCAAAGACAGTTGCTTGTGGCTTCATTGTTGACAGAGCAGTGAAAGCCCTTGACACCTCAGTGGAACTATCTCATAGATGGCTTGTTTGATGATTTCTGTTTTGACAGGGCATCTTTTATTATTCAAAGCTTTGGGATGGAAACTGAGAATCACGAGTAGCCTGATTTCACACACACTACTAGAGCTGCCTCTCTCTCATAATAAGAGCAGGCTTGATGCTTGACACTGTCATTGTTGTGATGTTATTTAGATCATCCAAATGGCTGTCTGTTTGACTGGCAGATGTGAAGGTGTATCCTTAGCTGAACGCACTGGGATGGCATTATGGGTTTTGCACTAATCTTTCTAACATACCTGTCAACTTGACACAGAATAATCCACCCTGCAATTATTATACAACAAGTGCAAAAACAACCCGTGTCCTCTTTTGTATTCAGGATACAGGGGCCAGAAAGGAGAGCGAGGTCAGATGGGGTTGACGCTGCCAGGAGATCCGGGGCCTATGGGACCACCAGGTAAGCATCAATTTGTGTTTGATATATTTATCTATTAATTATGTTCTCAATATGAGCTTTGAACTAAAAAAAAAAAAAAAAAAAAAAAAAAAAAAAAAAAACTAAATAAACAGTATTCTCATAGGCCTTAAAAATATGGAAATGATGTCACTTTTTAGTTATGCAGAAAATGCCTTAAAAAGTTCTCTCATTACAGCAGAGATAAGACGATCTGGTTTGAAGATGTTAAAATAATTTGTTTTGTTCTTTGCGGTTTCATTTATTTTACCCTGCGCTGTGGTTGCCATAGGGCAGATGCAGGATCTCAGCAGGATGGGCCACATGCTGAAGAGTGGAGCCTCTTTGATATGCAGACCATAGAGCCTGCCAGACAGTGATTTCTAACAGAGAAATAAGCCTATTCATCCTTCCCTTTTCTATTTGTTTAATAATAATGGTATCAAGGATAATCATAAAAAACAGGACAAAGTCGTCAATCACAAGTATTATGTTTATTTTGCAGAAGAAGCAGCACTGAGGTGAGAATCTGTTCTTATAGTTTTAGATTTTGACAATTAAATTTTAAGAAGAATATTATCTGAATCAAAATGGTAAATTACTAGTGAGATTGAAAAAGATAGAGGGAGCAATTGAAGTAAGCTAGAACACAAATAATATGAGGGAGTGACAGGTTGGCTTTAACTGGTTAGAGAAAAATTGGCTTTCTATTTTCAATCTTCACAGTAACTAAAAAGTGAAAAACACCATTTTCTCTGTAGAGCTTGTAATATTGCGCATCCATAAAAGTGCTTGTTGCCAGGTTTTACATGTTCTTGTTTTGTAAATTCATCCATAACCACAATAACTCTACAAGTGCTGTCCCAGATTGTGTTTGGAAAAAACACACACAGAGAAGGAACTGAAGTGTTATGTTGTAAACTGGTAAATACAGCTTTTCAACTTTTCTAGTGAATTTCTCAGTTGGTAGTTAAATTTAATAGACATTATGGTTTAGAACACTTGATTTTCTTTCTTCTGCAGTCTTTCGTGAAAGGAGCCATAGTTTGGCCCATGCCAACTTATTCTTGCTGTTTTTTCTCACTCATTACATTTAAGAGCATAATGTTTAAACGGATGCCATGATGAAGTGATAATGTGTGCTATTCACTTCCACTGTCCATAAAGTCATTTCTGATTAGTGCTTACAGGCCAAATCTGATCAGTAAGACATTTAAGGTGACAAGCATTGCTGCAGATGGCTTTGGGAACAAAACTTACCTTGTGCACATAGAAAACCACATTGTGTAACGTTTGATAAAGAAGATCCACACTTTCTATTCCCATCTGTATAAAGAAACTCTGTGTCTCTTGGGGGCAGCTCCAGCCTCCACAGAGCAGCATGTAGATTTTCACAGCCTCCATTTTTAATCCTACACAGGCTTTCTGTATGGACACTGTGACACAGTTGCTGCCAAACCTGCATTATCAATAATGGAAAGCAGCACTCAACAGTGATAGAGTGTGGTGCGGTGCAGAAATTCATAATACGTAATTCTGTGTCTAGGACCCCCTGGGATCAACACTCACGGGCCCCCGGGACCTCCAGGGCCCCGTGGAGCTCCTGGAACATGTGACCCCAGTGACTGCCTTCTTCCTTCCCTATGAGCCCTCTCCATCTTCATCCAGGGATATGTCTCAATCTGGACCTGGATCACTGGGTGTTCTGACCTCCTTTGTCAATAACATTAGTATGCAGTTGGGGTTTTCCTTCTGGGGATGCTGTTAGGTTTGTTATTTTGTTTTGAGTGCAACAAAGAGTCTTTTGAATAGTTATGTTACTGCTTTTTGCTTTGTTTTGTTTTTTTATCCCCCACTGTGATGTAATGCATTCCTTTTCAACCCTCATTCTGTCGTTAAAGACCATGAAATGAGCGTTTTGTAGAGGGTAGCCCTGTCAGAAAAAAAACGTGATCTTAATTATGTATTTGCCTTTTGAATTGGCACGCGTATGCACTCTTCTGTTGCAATTCAGATAAGCCATTTGGTAGGCAGAGGTACATCTCGTGACTGTGTATGTTTGAAATGTGAGAGTTGAATGAATGTGTCTCTTTTATGTGTAGGTGTGAAGAAATTATTTTTGAAAACATAATGCAACCAAAGTGCAGCAGATATGTTTAATATGGAAATTATTTATTTAAAGCTTGTTCTTTGAGAATGTACTTAAATTATGGGACTGGTTATTGTAGTAAATGTAGCATGACTATTTGGAAATATACTGCTTCAGGATATTTGAGTGTTTTTTGCTAATGTTGTACTTCTACTTTGGCTCGATTTCAAACACATCTCTAAAGTAATCACAATCACTGATGAAGAGGTCCTTGCTTATTTGGATAAGCCATCACTCTCAGTCTATTTGTAACAACACACACGTCAAGGGCAATTGAAACAAATGTACTTGAGAAGTCATTAGTCTTTGAGTGACCTCTTCTGTTGGCTTAATCAGAGTTTGTGCATTTTGTTAGTTTTTTTTTTTTTGGCTCATACTCAGACAATTAAGCAAATTAGCAATGATGAAAATACTTGTAAATACCATGGATTGTTTACACAGTGTGGTGTATGACGATTCCTTATAGGCATATATGTATATTTTGGTTTCAGCTACCCAAAGGAAATCGGACTACATCACATAAGCTTCTCATTCAGTGAGACTAATTTGCTTGAGCTTCATTTTGAATATATATGTGTCATTAAAATTGGGATTTTTTAATTTTTTTATTTTATTGTTTATAAGAATTTTCAGTCTAGTACAGGGGTCTCCAACCTGTAGCTCAAGAGCTACCAGTAGCTTTCCACTCCCTTCCAAGTAGCTCGCCAAGGGATTTCTGAATTATACATATTGTGCTGAGTAACTAAAATCTGATTATTTACCATTGTAGTTCTGCAGTAATGACTAGAAATTGGCTTATATTTTATAAGCTTCTAACGGTACCTCATCTAAGGCTCACCATCACTCTTATACTTTCTCAATTTCTTGTGACCGCAAAAATTAGTAGCTCTCCGGTATTTTTGTTTTGTAAAGGTAGCTCAGCATAGGAAAAAGGTTGGAGAGCCACTGTGTGTGTATTAAGTTAATTGATTAATCTAAATTGATCACAAGAAGTCAATGTGGGAGTGAATAGTTATGTGGCAGTGCACGTCTGACATGGATTTGCAACAGATTGAGACACCTCTTATGTTTGAAACGTACATCCTTCACAGTCTCATTTGATGCCACCCCCTAGGTCTTTTTGTAGATAATAATCACCAACATGTCTTTATCAAGTTCATGGAATTTGTCTTATTTGAGAGGTACAAGTTTGACTAAATACAATGGAATTTTCCAGCAGCAGTAAAAAAAATTATTAGCTTGTATTGTTTTGACATTAGCTATTGTTTTTTCAGGGCTTAGATTGTGACTCAAGGGTTTTAATTTGCTTTCAACTGTCTTGTGAGACATGTTTGACAAGTTATGTAGGTGGATTTGAATGCTGGTTAAGATTCTTGTTTGACTTTGCTTCATAGGAAGGCACAGTGCATCTATATCAGACATACATGCTATATAGTAATAGTATAGTCCCTTTTATCCTGATATAAAAGGTTTTATTCATTTTGATGGTAGCCTTTTTTATGCCCATGTTTAAATTTTGCAGTACGTAGATGGGAACAGCGCCAAAGTGAGTTTATTTGTGAGTCAAAGGAGCCCCCTGCTGGATGTTTTTATGTCTATACAGGGGAAATATGCATAGTATATTTACGGTATCTTTTAAACCCTTTATGTCTGAGTATGACCCCATTTGCAATAATGATTACGAATGTAAAAAGCCAACTAAGCAGTCCGTTACAGTCAAAATCATGTAAAAGCTCTTTAAGTTAATCTTGTTCATAAACGTGTCTACTAATGAGATTTGTGTCTATTGTATGTTTTACAAATGTTCAGTACAATCAAATATCATGTGATCAGATGTAAATAAGCTTAAAGGAAATAATATGGATCAATCTCTTATTGTGGTGTCTGGTGTAGTGTCTGTCTGCTCCTGTCTTTCTTGTGCTGAGTGACTTCCATGTTGTTGCTAAACTTTCTTTGTAAATATCTACCTCAGTCCTGGTTTACCACATGTCTTTATAATGAGCTATTTTGAGATAAATATATTTTACATCATAAACTGTTGCCTTTGACTGACAAGCAACTGCAATGTACAAATGGTTCACAGTGAAGAGAGGTTTAGAGAAGGTTTGGTCTCACTATTTCAGGGGGCATGTTTATTTTATTCTTCTCTTGCTGCATATTTTATTTATGTCTATTAACAATACTGCCTTACTGGTGTGCAATAAATGTGATCCATTGCTTCACTCTGTGTCCTTATGTATTTGATGTTAGTGCTCTATACAATGCAGTGTCCATGAGACAAACTCTCACATGAAGTGGTTTGTATTAAATATAATTAACAAAAATTCAAACAATTTACAGATTTACATCATACACTGACATCTGTGTGACTTTGGTAGAATTGATTTCCTCCTGTCATTTATTTGACCTGTCATTTATTTGAGCTGACAACTGAGTCAATGTGTTTCAGCAGGTTTTTCATTGGTACATACACACTATACATACAACGTACACATATACACACATATGATATAATCTGTGAAAAGGCACAACAGATTTAACCCTGGATGTCTTTGGTAATGGAGATTGAGGAAGTAATGTATGAGAGTTCACCAAAGTCAACATGTTTGGTCCCAATAGCACTTCCAGCACCACATGGACAATGTTGTAAACTGTTACCATAGTGAAGGGACTGATTCCTTCAATGGTGCTCTCAGAGGCTTGGACCAAAGCAGCCACGCGCTGCAGCTCCAGAAGAGGAGGTGTGGAGGACATCTGCATTACAACTGTCTTTGTGTCTGTTCTCTTCTGGCTCTTAGTTTCCTGCAGGTCCCTTTATGTCCACAGACTGTTGGGCACCTGCAGCCAGGTTACAGGCTGATGGATCACAGTATCCATTAGGACCAGCTGCTCCAGGTGATCCAGGCACACCAGGCTGTCCCGGGAGTCCAGGGGGGCCCCTTTGCCCATCACGTCCATCTCGCCCATAGCCAGGTTTACCAGCCTCACCTGTGATCAGTTATGTTGTCAAGACAGAGTCTTCCATGTTAATTAAAGACTGACATGTCAAGAGTCAAAAGTTACTTACCAGGAAGTCCAGGTGGTCCGGGCTGACCCTTAGGTCCACGAGCTGTAGGCCCCCTGGCTCCTCTGTCACCCATCTCACCTATTACAAATGAAACAGTGAATCCTGTGAGTACATGTGCCTGTCAATGACATTTCACTAAATGCAATGTTCTACCCTTTGGTCCTTTGTGGCCTAATGCTCCAGGTGGCCCCTTCAGACCAGGCAGTCCTCTAGACCCAGCTTGTCCAGGGAAGCCATTGTCTCCGGGAGGCCCAGGAGGCCCTGGAGGTCCAGGTTTGCCGGGTAAACCGACCACACCGGATTCTGGCCTCCGCAGACTGGCTGCCAGTTGAGCCAGCTGTTCTGTTAGACACAACAGCACAAAGATGTCAGTGAAACAGGTGGACATATGAATGGGGCTTTAAATGTCTTTAAACATTGCCAGTATCATATTTTCTGCAGCACAGGTGCACTATAACTGATCATGTGATTGCAGACTCATTTTTGAAAGCCCAGAGCGATTTTTAGGAAGCAATGGTCTGACAGTTTCTGCAGTCCAGGGCGCAGCAGAGCGGGGTGAGACTGTGGTCACAACATCCCTCAAGCTGCAGCTGTTTTTCTCCATTTTCCAAACGAGCTTTGTCAATTGTGCAAAAAGATAATAGTCTTTATATGAAGTAATCAGTGACAGAAATGTATGCTCCTGGTGAAAACGTTGTAATATTAATCTCATGTGGCTTTGAGCTGCTGGTATTTTGCACTTTCTGTTTTTAGTTCCTGATGAAAATTCATACAGGGGCTGCTGCATGCACAACTTTTGAAAAAAAGATTTTCCTCCCGAGCAGACTCCTCGCTTGGAGCAGGGAATCTCAGGTCTACTGGAGGTGAAATTAATTTTTCAGCACATCAGGTATAAAAAAGTCATGAGAATAGGAGATGAGCCGAAAAGACGTAAAAGCAAAGAATAGTTGGTTGTGACTTCAGTGAAACATTTCTAAAGCTCAGATATATTTCATCCATCAAATAAACAAAAGATGAAGTCTTTTTAGATTTGGGTTATTATAAGAGCTCCTAACTTAACAGTATGCAGTAAACAGTCCAATCAATGGGACGGTGCAGGAGCAGCTGACTTTGTGGCAGTGTAATGAGGCATTGTGGCAATGATTAAAGCCATGAAATGAGGCGCAGGGGATGATAAATGGGGTCAAAGGCCCCTGTGTTCACACCTTGCATGACGCGCATACAAACTTGCTTGATGTGCTGATCACTTGGCTCTTTGCCCTGGACAGAGAAAAGAAACACTTAATTGATTTTGTGACACTCTTCAATGCATTTACATATAAACTCAAGATTTTTTTCTTTTTTTTCACCAGGTAGTTAAGTTTGGTCTTGGTGGCTCCATAAATGCTTTTGGTCATGAAAATACAATATGTTTTACACATTTTCAATTTACTTTTACACTTTACAGTTTATTGCAATGTTACATTTTATTTCTAATCTTCCATTATTGTTCTCTCCCTGCCTGCACTGAACAAAAGTTTTTAGTGTGTAAGTTTTTTTACTCTGACCTGGCCAACAGGAATAGATGCATTTCATGCTGCTTTTAAATACACCCACATAAAGAGCAAAAGATGCATTTGAAGTGGCCATTAATGTAATACTGTACATAAAATACTATGGAATTTAAAAGAAATGTCTAAAATAACTACAAAAGACAAACTGGTTTTGGCTCTAACTAAGACACAAATTAGATAACAGTAATAATATTGAGTTATTATGTAGCCAACAAAAAACTAAGGAAAAATCCTGCAAATTTTGTGGTACTGTGTTCCCTACATGATTTGGTTGGGTTCACATGAATGTTACACCTTCCACAGTAACTACAGAAGGGTTATTATTCACTAGACGTACCGCAGGCCCCTGGGATCCTCTGGCCCCTGGTAGACCCCTGTTGCCCTGCATGCCTCTCGGCCCAGGTGAGCCAGGGGGTCCCTCGATGCCCGGCTGACCTCGACTTCCCTCTGGACCCCTTTTGCCGGGCTCACCAGGGGTACCGACCTAAGAGAAAAATGGCATCACATTAGGGCAATTCACAAAGTACTGCTTATTTGTCAGTGCCTTGGCATTATAAAATATGTTGTGTTGCTGAATCTCACCTCTCCTTTTGCCCCTGCCTCTCCTGAATCACCCTAAGAGACATTTAAAAAAAATTTACATTTAAAAGACTGCACTGGTATAGCTACAATACAGTGGTTCAGTAAAATATGTTAAAACTTACTGTATCTCCTTTGTCTCCTGCAGTTCCTTCATCACCTTGAGATCCCTGTTAAGAGAAACAATAATTTAATAATAATACAAACTGGAAGCTATATTTTACAATAGTTAGAAAATCATATTTTTTTCACCTGTTCTCCCTTAGGACCAGCTTCACCACGCTCTCCCTATAACACACAAACAATTATCACTCAAGCAACTAAGCACCTGACAGGATGTTTTATTGGGCCACACTAGAGGGAGCTAATCAGTCTGCTGTGACCATTAATCTTACCCACTCTCTTCTTCTTTTTCTAAAACAATGGCCTTTAAAAGCAAGGTATGTGTCTCAGTAATTTGACTTACCCTCTCCCCTTTCACTCCAGGAAGACCAGGGGGGCCAGGTAGACCAGGCAGTCCTGGGTCACCCTTTGGTCCCTATAACAAATAAACAAATACAGAAATAAGCAAGGATACGTCAAACACATTCTAGAGTAAACTAAATCACTTACACTTCTATTTCAGAAATTTAGTATGGATTTACTAAATTAAAAACTGAAAAGTAAATTTGTGTCAAACTCATTTACTTTTGCCAGAAATCTCTTTATTTATTGTTAAATTATTTACTTTGACTATTTTTCTTCATATAAATGGTTCTAACAATACATTTTCTGCTTCTTTCTGAATGTTTACCACATCTTAGTGTGTGCTGGCGGGTGCCACACTTTGATCCCTGGCTGACCATGAGAGGAATGTCAGTGGAACAGAGGGCCCTTTCAGCTCCTGCTTTAGTCTCCCCTTACTGTGAAAATAGACCTTGTGTGAGATCCGGACCGGGGCTATTCTCTAAGACATTCCTCTCAAACAACGACTGGGGCTTTCGGCAGCCAAGTTTCCTCCTATACTGCTATATGCAGGTGAAACATGGTAAGAGTAAGAGCAGGAGCTCTATTTTATTTATTAATAGATTATATTCAACAGTGTTAGAAAATCTTCTGATAAACTTGTTTAATTATCTAAATACATATTAAGGAACATCAGTAAATGCAATGTATTATATTTAGTAACAACTATAATTGAGATGTTGCTTGTAAAACAAAAAAGTAAAAGCAATAACATACCCTGGCCCCATGCTTTCCAGCTGGACCTGTGGGACCTTGTTCTCCAATATCTCCCTGTGGGAAGTAATCAATTGAAATCAGTAAAAAAAAACAACATTAATTTAATTATCATAAAATGCAGTTTTGATAATTAAAGATGGAACTTACAGGTTCACCAATAGGTCCTGCAGGCCCAGCCTCTCCCTGCTCTCCTCGCTCACCCTGTGCACAAAATGATGGAGTTACCACAGGGATCACAGATGTCTGATATTACATTGTGATTTATATTTAATTAGTACTTACAGTTTTTCCTGCAGACCCCATTGTCCCAGGGAGTCCAGATTCACCTGAATCTCCCTAAAAAGAATTTTGTTGTTTCAAATTTACTTAATAATGAAAATACAGGATAAAAGTAAATAAACAAAGTCAAATGTACCTTTGGGCCACCCAGTCCTTTTGGTCCTGGTACACCAGGTAACCCCTGAAAACAAACAGTTTAACAGCTGAAACAACAAAACTACTAAATATTGAATTCCTAACATTTTCCAACTAACTCTGCAACTGTTAAACCATATTACAAGGTTTCTAACATAATCTGGCCATTTATGTGCTGATAGTGAAGTGATAAAATATAGAGAGAATTATTATGTGGTGGTTTATTTACTATATGTGTTATTATATTGGTCTATTGAAGCCCTGCACATAAACTGTCTGCAGATCTCTGTCTCTCTGGGTTTGCTCAGGTGTATCCAATCACAGTCAACAGGTCAAGGTCAAAGGTCAGACTTACAGGAAATCCCTGAGGACCCACTTCTCCAGGAGCCCCAGCCTTTCCGATGATCCCCTACAGAGACAAGAAACAGGAAAATACTCAGTTTCAACCTCTCTTTTGGCCATAACACCTTAAACAAGATATTGTTTAAAATGTGTATAAATTTATAAAACTATCTGAATTAATGTTACCTTTGCTCCAGGCATTCCTGGAATACCTTCACGGCCATCGACACCTGGAAGACCCTACAAGACAACCATGAATAAGACACTACAATATAATAACTGGATCTTAATTAGACTTAGACAAACTTTATTGTGCTACAAGGCAAATTACTTACACCCTCTCCTTTTGGACCTGGAACCCCTGTTATTCCTCTTGGTCCTTGAACACCCTAAATAGTATCATACTGTAAATGAGCATGTAAATGAGCAACAGTATTTAAATCAACTGTCAAGCTTATAGTATATTTACTTACTGTTTCACCTTTAGGACCAGCCTCACCCATTACACCTCTCTGACCTTGGTCCCCCTAAAATGAATAAAAATGCAGGTTGATTTTCTAAAAAATATTTATCTTGTATGGTTTTATCTTTTCAGGATTTATAGAAATGACATACAGTTGCTCCAGCAACTCCCTGTGGACCTGGATCACCATCAGGACCTCGAGCTCCCTACAAAACCGCATTTATACAATTAGTACATCTATAATTACTATTGTCCCATCAGCTTGAGGAAAAAACTGGGCTCATAATTGATACAAACACTTCTCAGAAAGCTACATACAAATACATTTAATACTGCACAGGCACTTACCATCTCTCCCTTGGCGCCCATCATCCCCGTGGCTCCACGGATTCCCTGAGGACCCTAAATTAGCAAAGCAAGTCAACAAGTCCCTCATAAATCAGCAGAAAATAAGGAATTAACAAATATTTAAATATAAGTGGTAAATATCTCACTGTTGGTCCTTGGGCTCCGACCTCCCCTGGGATCCCCTGCTCTCCTTCCTCTCCCTGAAAACATAAGGAAGATCAACACATGCACACAAAAGCCAGGTGGACAGTAACATTTGAAACAGCAGTTTCTTCTATGATTCATCACTTACATTAGAAGAAGAATCGTGGCTATTTGTATCACAAATGCATTAATTAGAAAATAAGGTATCAATTTAAAGTGTTTCTTTAAATTGATTACAAAGGACCAAAGGCAGACTATTTAACATAAAATTACTGCTCAACTTTTTGCAAATTACAAATAATTTATATTCTGATTATGAGGTGGATTTAGGCAGAGGCATATACATTAGGATAGATAGTTTCTTCTTTTAATCAGTATTAAAGTCACCTGTAAATTCAAAGATCTATGTCAGGCAATGTGTTATTACACGATAAACAAAGCATCAACAAATACAAAATACAAGTCAGCAGCAATTTGAATGCAAACGAATAAAGATCAGTTACGTAATGGTACATTGTGTCACTCTTATTCTTAAACTTATCACTTTCCTAACAGCAAAGAGTTGTTTCAATCCTAAGTTTTTACTTGAAGACCCTTTATATAATAGAAGGGGTAACAGGCAAATGGTCCTTTTAAAAGAAACTCTCAGTGAAGGGGCAAATCATTGTTGAGGACTAATGCAGACAGACAGTAAATCATACCCTGGTGCTGGTGATAAAGGGAGATAGGCCCAGACTCATTTCCATTTATATAGTGCATGGACACATTACAGGGAGAGCCTAGATGCGCTCGAACATCATTTCAAATAAATCATCCACCAAGCAATACAGGGAGTCAAAGGCACTACACAGAGGCATGTTCCTCCTCCATGAAAATACAACACTTCAACTGCCATTCGTCTCAGAAAATCTTCCAAGAGCTGAAATTATGAATGATTGTTAGCCTGGGTGATGCCTGTGTTTTTCTGACACTGTGGGACAGTTGTGATTTCAATAATAAAAGCTACATATTTACCTTGTGGCCTTGTTTGCCAGGTTCTCCAGCTTCCCCCTTTACACCTTTGTGACCCTAGAGACATACAAAGTTGTCATTTACTAGAAGCGGTTGATTTTATTGATCTTAGTGTAGTACACAAAATGCATGCATACTTTCATGCCAGGGAGTCCAGGGTGCCCTGTCATTCCAGGTGGACAAGAGTTTGGACACTATACAATAGAAACAGTAAAATTTATTATTTTCAACCAATAGTTAAATACTCACCATTAAAATATTTTATAAAAGATTTACCATATCAGTACTGCCCAAGGCTCCAGCTGCTCCCTTAAAAACAAAGAAAATATGTTTGTTGGCTTCATATTTGCTCTATGTTTTTTCCTTGATCAGTCAAAACATGAACACATATTTAGACAATTACAAGAAACTGTGGTCAAAAAGCAGTTCACAGGTGGATTTTCCAAACATTCCGGCATTAATTTATACTGATCGCTTTGAACCAGTTCTTTGAGTTTCTAATCCTTTTGTAAATGTCAATGCATACACCTTTTGTTTCACTTACTCTGGGTCCTTGTGGTCCACGAGGTCCAGCTGGACCCCTCACTCCCATGGCACCCTGTATAGAAACAAAAAAAAATGCATTATAAAAATGTAAATATAATTTCAATATGTTTCCACCATAATGTACTTGAATCACTACCACTATTTCTATTCATTGTCACATAATCTACAATATACATAAATAATAAGCAAATGTAACAGCAAATATTAGTTTGTTTTCCCTTGAGGGTCCTCTAACTGAAGTTATGTTATAACAATATTACTATTAGGAAATAAAATCCTGATCATGCCTTAGGCGATTCATCATAAGAACTATATCTTAGCTCAGAGTCAAATCTTTAATTCAGTTTAACTTTTATACTTACAGGTGGTCCAACTTTTCCAACTTCACCCAGAAGTCCTCCAGGTCCGGGTGGTCCCTTTACAATACAACATATGATCAACAATTAGTGTAATTTTAAGTGTGAGGTTTTTCAAAATATACTTACGGGGGGTCCATCAGGCCCAACTCCCTATGAAAAGAACATAACAATATGAATTAGCACAAAGAGGGCCAGGCTGCAATGCATCATGTAACCATATTATCCACTATATTATCATTTAAGATTAAAGGATATGATTAAAAGTACAGGCTACTTACCGCTGATCCACGAGGCCCTGTTTTTCCAGGTTCACCCTAAATAAAAGCATAGAAGGTTTAACAGACAGAAAAACAGCCCAACTTTGAATGCAGATGGCAAGTGTTAACATTCCTAAGGATTATCACATGACTGAACTGGGCACACTTGACCCAGCCATGTTGGACTTAATGAGGACTGATGTAGAGTCTTCGTTCCCCATGGAGATTACACAGAGACTTGCAGGATTAAGTCTCATTTGTCATAAGAAATTGGTCTATGCACCACAGCTCTCCTCCATGCCAACAGAATGGACAGCAGCAGCTTGACACCGTTTCTTCATGCTGCTCTAAAGCAGCAAGGACAGACTCATTAGTCACTTACTTTCTGTCCGGGGGGGCCATCAGGTCCAGGATCTCCGACAGGGCCAGTCAGTCCCTACAGGGATGAAAGATATCAAAGTTAAAACATCAGAGAAAATGTTTGATGCTTTGATTCCTTTTTATTTTAGTCTTGGTTTTTGTTTTAGTTTAGTTAATTTTACCCAAGAAGTAAAATGCTTCATCATTAATATCCCAGTTATGGGTGGGACTTGCGTTATCCATATTCATCTCACAAACTCCTCCCCTAAACTTCTCCCTTTATTGGGCACTGCAGCCTTATACTGGTCAGTGGTTTTTTGACATAATGGCAGTGTAATCTTAGTTTAGCAGGCACACAGAAAAGGGCAGAGGCCAACACTCTTGGACTGCAATCCAGCAGAGAGCCAGCATTCCTTCAGCTTAATTTAAACAAATCCCCTAAAAAAATATTCCACACTGATTTGAGAATTTTCAACAGGGGATATGAGCAGCAGCAAGCACACAGTCAAGTCTTTGTTTCTCAAAGATAACATAACTTGTATCCAAAAATTCAATTTTCACTGTTTTGGATATTTATGATTGTGCACAAAGAGCCATTTTTTAGTATTTGTTCAGTGAATTCACTTCCTTATTTTGTTGTAAAACCTGTAATCTAAATACAAATCTTGAGAGCAGGAGTTATGCCCATGTGGTGGGAGGACCTTAAAAGAGGTACCTCTGTGCTACTATCACTATTTCACAATTTGTAAGGTGTCGACAACAGTAGACAATGTCTAAAGGGTTCATAACAGACAATAATAATACAAATGGCTTTCTACTCACATCATTTCCAGGAAGTCCAGGTAATCCAGGAGAGCCAGGTTTTCCCTCCTCTCCATCAGGCCCCTAGATACAAATTGCAGAAGCACATAAGGGCTTCACAATTATACTAGATTATTACTGAAAAGGAACAGAACTAACTTACAGGTGGTCCATCCTCCCCATCCATGCCCCTTTCTCCCTGTAATGAAGTTTTAAGTTGGTTTTATAAATTTGATAATCACTGGATCAACGGTTCACAACTATGAAACTCACATCAATGCCATCAATTCCTGGCACACCTGGAGGTCCAGGGGGGCCTTGACTTCTCTGAGAGAATGAAACAACACATTTTATTGTAGTAATTAACTAATCTAATAAAAAATACTGCAATGAGGATTTAATAAATGTGACAGAAGTTATCCACAAGATTTAATGGGATAATATGCATTATTAAATTATACACACAATGTAATATTATACAACAAAGTGTACATCATGCACTCCTCTGACCAACAAACAAACCAAAATAAACATCAATGTGCAAAATAAACCACCATAAATCATGCAAGTGCAATAGGTATGCTACTTAGCATAGAGCTCATCAGAAGTCGCACCTGCACAACGGTAACCTCGGTCTATGGAGACAAAGCAGAGAGAGACAGAGAGACATAATTAGTCTTACTTGAGCGGAGCAGATCAGGACAAGCTGGAGGAGAAGCGCCAGAAGTGGCCCTCTGAAGCCGGGGCCCCGCGACATGATCTCCCCGTGGAAAGGTAAAATGTGTAGTCCTGTTCGCGGGCTTTGTTGGGCTGAAGGAGCCCCCGACAAAACAATCCAAGTGAACCCGCTTCAGCTATCAAGACCGTCCGGGGTCTGGCCCTCATGTATATTCATACTGCTCTGAATACAGACAGGGATTGGCGGGTTTGTCAGGAGGAACAGAAGGGGAGGGTCATCGCGAGGACACCACCAACAGGTTGGACTTGCGGGTATTTTAGTCTCTAATGAGCCGGCTGCTGGCATATTTGTATTTCATTGTTTTATTTTAAAATAAACAAAAACACGCTTAACAAATACCAGAAAACACAATGTAGCTTGTTCTTACCAGTGTCGTGGCCGGGAGATCGTAACAAGCTTCGGTTCGGGCTCGGACAACATCGCAATGAATCAACATGGACTGGAGTTCAAACTTGAGTTTAAACATAAAAAAGTGAAATACCAGAATATCATTATTCTGACTTCAGAGTAGAAAACTCAATAGGCCTAACTTTTTTACGCACAGCCAGTAGGCTATATTATAGTGCGCTTTACGCAATTAATTGGTCACTGCCTGGAACCAAAACTGTACAGAGAACAATAGAGAATGCATGTTTAAAGATTCACTAGCAAATTAGGATAGTTCATTGTGCATGTAGGCTATTTGTGGGCCAAGACGTACAGTGTTTTAAGTTTTATTTGTACAAAATTACTGTGTGGCTCATTAGAGGGGACTTGCAAGAGTGTTCACATATTTGTATGAAAGGTCTAAAAGCAGCAGGCAAACATTTGGGGTTCTTAAACACTTAAGCATTCTTAAGTACTTTTTAAATATATAATACTTATTATTTTCTGTTATATATTTACTGTAATTCTGTCACGTCCATATGCGGATTAATTCAAATCTGATGAACATAAGAACCATAACATTTATTTATTTATATGCTTTCAGACGTACCGGAACTGCAAAAACTGGATTATCCTGGAGTTTTCCTATCATTGTATAGCCATCCAAATGGACTTTTTGTCTTGGAGATATACTCTGCTTGCCAATCATGACACAGTCTACAAACAGGGAGACAAAGTCCTTGGTGACATCCAGTAGTATCCGGTGCCACCTGTCGTTGAAAAGTGAAGGTAGGGGACCAAAGACCATTGTGTGTTTCCTGGAGTCTGTCCCAGTGGAAGTAAACCCCAGATACTGAGACTCCCCATTGAGGCTCACAGCAAGTTGTTCCTCTCCATTCACATCCTGCATCTGCCAGATATTCCACTTTTTACTTATTGTTCTGTCAGTCATTCGCAGCTCAGTCACAAAGGCAAACTCCTCTGGTAGCCCTAAAGGATAAGCTGATCTGAAGGATATAAGACAAACAATTAAGATATTTGGTCATAATGTGATAATATACTATACAATTTCTATGTTAGTTGATTCAAAACACAAAAGTAATAGGTCTAGACTGCATCATCAGTGGGCTGAGTTAGAAATCAATTTATCAGGTTAGCATTTGTGTTTTTAGCACATGTATTTGTCATGAAAGTGCTGATTAACAGAAAAATGTAGACATATTTTGGTTTGTTTAAATTTGTGCGTTATTGCAATTTTCAGTTTTCTTTGACTATAATTAAAATGACTAAAAGCTGCTGTATTTACCTTTACTGTGGAGGTGTTGCATTGTTAGATGTTGTGGTAGGATCAGCACGTTCAGCACCATGGACAGTGTATGCAGTGTTGTGCTGTCTTTACCACTAGATGACACTGTTCACCTAACGGCAGCAGCTTACCTTGTGTTTATTCTGAAGTTGAAGGCTGGGCCGATGTTGTAGGCAACATGTTGAGGAGATGAACCAGTAACCCTTTGAACAGTTCTTCTTCGTGCCAGCTCGGCAATATGGAACTGGGACATGATGTAAAACCCTGGGGAGTCATAGTACAGTCATTTGAGTAGATGTAGGGCAAAATGGGCTAAAATTTTCCTGGGTTGAAAGTTGTTTTTGGGAATTTTACACACAGAAAAATCCTATATGTCCTTCTAGAACAAGGTGAACCTTCAATTTGTAAACTACGGTCAAAAACACAATTTTAGATCTTTTAAAATCTTCTTTAAAACCTACTCAAGGAAAAGCATTTTGAAAACCAAAGTATTAAGTAACATAAAGTTGTAACAAACAGGTTTAATGGGCTTTATTTTGTTGGATAAAATAGATGACTTGACTTTTGCTGTGGTCTAGCAAATAAATGAAGTATAAGGCCTGAACAGAAACAAGAATTTATATTTAGTTTGTAGGTTCAACCTGGGAAAGTTTTTCCTCCAACGGTGACTGGGGGGCACATGGATTGCTGCTCAAAATGAATACCAATATCAGGAGAAAATCTCAAAGCTAGAAGAAAGAAGAAAAATCAGATTATTAACAGATACTGTACATGTAAATGTTTGTGTGAGTGTGTGTGCAATGGGAAAGTTATAAAGTTAGTTTGAGAAGCTGCACTTGTTTACTGAATAAATATTAGACCAAAGAGTATGTTCAGGCCTGTTGCTTTTAACACTTCAGCTCAAAATAAGCCTCCTTCACATATCTGGAAAGGAAGTCAAATGTGTTAATGATCTAAAAGCTACTTAAGAGGTAACTAATGCAAAACCACCAAATAACAATGCTTTTATGTATGTGTTATTTTGGAGTGCAAATTGCACACAATTGCACATGTGGAAAGCATCAGAGACATGGATGTCATAAAAATGCATAAAATATTCATGCTTTAAAATTAGGCCTTCTTCAATAGATGTCCATGCTCTAAGAGAAGCATGTTACCCTACTGACATTTTTAGGTAAAGCAAAATTGATAAAAATGTTAAAAAAATGGAGACTATCTGTGTTGTTGTTATATTTGTCTCATGTTTTATTCAAACATGCATTATTATTGGTATATATGGTATATATTGTACTTACTTTGAGCATGGAGCCCAGTGCAAAGATAGTGTGGAATCTCATGTAAGAAGCACACCGTGAAGAGAAATATGTACCTAAGGAATCAGATAACATAATGAAAAACATAGGTAAACATAGGCTGTAAGTCTTAAGATAAAGAAGGAAAATGTACCTTTTGACTCCAGCCATTTCATTCCTTGATAAAGGCATGAAATATGAATCCTCTTGGTGACACTGGATGGAACCCCAGGAATGAAGAGGATCCTGAGACTTCTTCAGCTGGAGTAAAGGCACATGTCACAGCTGAGCCTCTTATAGACATCACCGTCATGTATTTGCCATGTGTCAACACCATCCACACTTCACTGTGTCAACTTCACATTCCTGGGCTTTTCTCACTGGACCACAAGACCAGTGGGTCATTGTCAATCATGAACTTTTCCATTATTGTCAAGAATCTCATATAAAGTTTAATACAACCTTTTTTTTGTTGTACATGTACAGTGCCAGCCCTGTAAATCCTCCTGACCTAATCATGTGCAATACTGCCCCATAATATCACTCATCTCCTGCATAATACACTGAAGTCACTTCCCTGCCTACTAATCCTGTTCATATGCTGCATTGTACATAATAATAGTCAGAGCTTACTCTACACAATAGTGCTGTAGCCCTTTATTTTATTTTGATTCTGTTTTATTATACTTAAAAAGTGTTATTTTTTTTTTAAGTTTATGTTGTAATATTTATTATCTTTTATTTTTGAGTGGCTCTGTTCTGTTCTTAAACTTACATTTCCCCACTGTGGGATAAATAAAGGTTCTCTTATCTTATCTGTATGTATTCTATGCCAAAGGACCAGGCTATGTTTGCCTTTAGCCTATCCCTTAACATGAACCAATTTATGACAGTCAGAAGTTAGTGAAATTATCATTATTATGTTGGTTTTAATAAAGGTGTCAAATAATGACATATAAATGTGCTGATTATTTGCCCTACATTTCCTCTTATATTTATAAAGCAAATAGGTTGTAACAGGCAGGATCTGACATAGAAAGGTAACAGGCTTTAATGTTAGTTAAAGTAATGAAATAACTTATTCAAAGGCTGGAGATCTAGTCAGGATTAAATATTCAATCAATGAATATAATAATTAATATCCCACCATCAACAGCCTTCAGAAGATTCCTATTTCTTGATGAAGAAGGTTTATTTTATTATGTTTTTATTTAATTATCATTGACCTACATGTGAAAGTAACTCATAGTTTAAAGAAACATATCTTTTAGTTAGTGTCGCTGCCTGCTGCAGATCTTGCATGTCTGTGTGGGTCTGTGGTCTGTGGTCTGTAGTCGGAGTGTGCGGTGGTGCGCTCCGGGCGCAGTGGAGCTGCGTGACGCGGAGCTCTGTGGACTCATATGTGGAGTGTGCAGCTGGAGCCTGAGCTGGAGCTGCTGTCAGCTCTCAGATTGAGCTCGACTTCTGCTGCCAGGCTGCTAGCACTGTTGATCTCAACACAGACATATATTTAGTCGTTGAAGTTCTATTTTACATTCACCATATCCGAGAGTTGCTGAGCTGTTTGAGATCAATGTTTTTTATCCAGTGATTCAAAAAGACGTGGGACGAAAATAGAAGCTAACGTTGGTTAGCTAGCAAATGTTAGCTTACCAACGCAATGGTAAGTAGTGCTAGCCTGCCGCTTAGCTAATGTTTGACTGCTGATGACTATTTTTGCATAGCTAACGTTATTATGTTAACAGTCAGTCTACGACCAAATGGTTGGAGCTTAGAGGGAAATGTATACATTGTTTGAGGCTAAACTGCAACTATATCTCAATGCTCCTTTGGACCTCCTGGTGATTTATGGCCTTTCGCTTAAATTCCACCTGTAACTATACTGAACCAGAGACTGACAAGCACACAGCCTTTGGCCATTATTAATACACGATTCTTTAACAACATGCCTTTTGAGTTGTCTTTTGAGTTAACTCTCTTTCCTTAAACTGAAGCATTTCCTTAAACGTTTCCCTTGTAGCAATGTCTTGTGCAATTTTTGTTAACGCAGACAT